TTCCAAGTGAGGCTGCTGAAATACAATATTCTTTCCCCCAAGTGAGGGAAACATTTTTGGTATTTCTGGTTCCACATGCTCTTCCAGAAGCTTGCCACTTTATCATCAGGAAGTAGTCCATTTCCCCTCCATTTCAATCAGCACAGACCTTTGTGACTTCTTCCATGAGCAGAATGCAGCAGAAGACACTGAATGACATTTTTTCCTTTTTTTTGAGACAGAGCCTTGCTTTGTCACCCAGGCTGGAGGGCAGTGGTGCGATCTTGGCTTACTGCAACCTCCGGTTCCCAGGCTCAGGAGATTCTCCCACCTCAGCCTCATGAGTAGCTGGGACCACAGGGGCATGCCACCATATTTTTTTATTTTTTGTAGAGACGGGGTTTTGCCATGTTGCCCATTCTGTTCTTGAACTCCTGAGCTCAGGCAATCTGCCCACCTTGGCCAAAGTGATGGGATTACAGGTGTGAGCCCCCATGTGTAGCCTGACACATGAATTCTAATGCCAGGCAGCAAATGGCAACAGCTCCCACGTGGCTTTCTCAATCCTTGTCCTTGGAACACCTAGCCTCTAGGTTGTGAGGAAGGGAAACAGGAGTAGGTATGTGTTCTGGCTTTAGCTCCACCTGAAGTCCCAGCAGTCACTATCAACTTCTGGACATGTGAGTGATTACATAGATCCCAACCCCACTATTTGAGCTGACCTTGCTGTGACTGAAAGGAGAGAGACAAGCCGTCTCTCCTAAGCTTTGTCCCATGTTGTAGATTCATGAACGCAATACATGTTGTTTTAAACCATTACGTTTTTGGGGTGGCTTGTTTAAAAGCAAATAATTAGAACTCTATCAACATTTTTCAAGCCCCTTGTATTCTGTTTTCACCCTCTTCCTACCCCTTCAGAAGTAACTAGTATTCTAATTTAGTATTAATATTTCCTTAGCTTGCACAAAATAAGCTTTCCCCACATAAATACATCTCAACAGTCTATTTGCCTGTTTTCAACAAATCAGTTAAGTTATGATTTTGTATACTTTTAGGCTTTTTTCATACAACATTGTATTTTGGGGATTCACCCATTTGTAGTTGATTCCTTTTGTAGTGTTGCATAACATTCCATTGGGTGATTATTAACTTATCCATTATTAACTTATCCACAATTAACTTACCCATTCTCCTGTCAATGGATATTTGAAGAGCTTTCTTTTTTTTGCTCTTACAATGCTGACATGAATATTTTTGTATACCCCTGGTAAATGTGTGTTTTTCTAGGATAAATGATTTCATGCATTTCATGCAATTTTACTATCTAATGCAAAATCTTTCCCAAATTTATTGTACCAACTGACGCTCCCACCATCCACACATATTTTTACTCCATATACTCTACACATGGTTTCACCAGACTAAAATTTTTATCATTCTGGTGAGTGTGTATTTGCTTCTAAATAGACTTTCAACAAATACTTCATCTTCCCTTCCAGAGATGTCATAGTACAAGAGCATTTTGGAGGATCTGTCATACAAATCAGATTGCTTCACAACCTTCCACACTGCAGAATAAAAAATCCTTCTGAGGACTTCTAGGATGAACACTCCTCATCTATTTTTAGCTTTCAACAATTTGTGGTTATCATTTGTTTTTGTCCCATCCATTTTTAGTCTTTGTAAGATGCATTAAAAAACAAAAACCATAAATCAAACCAGATGTGGCAGTTCACATCTATAGTCCCAGCTCATCAGGAGGCTGAGGTGGGAGGATTGCTTGAGCCCAGGAGTCCCATCCTGAGCAACACAGTGAGACTTGGTGTCTAAAAAAAATAAAAACCCACAAACCTTTAGCTGTTTTAATGCAGTTTCAGAAGGAACTGAGGGTTAAATGTATGTGTGCATTCAAGGCATCTTTCAACATGCATTTTTTAATTTCAGTGAGTTTTTCTAAATGATTTTTGGCTTTTCAAATTTACTTGGTTATTTTTGCTGCTCCTGCTTCTTGTTTACTTTTAGATTCCATTTTTTTCTCCTTAAAGCATATCGTATAGTTACATTCTGCATATGACAATTTTAATATCTAATATTGTCTTTGAGGGTCTTTATGTACTGCTTATTTCTGACTCATTCAGATTTCTGGCTTATTTCCTTGTGTATTTGATAATTTTGTGTACTCATATTTGGTTGAGCTTAATCTGTGAGAATATCAAGATTTTATTTCATTTTTTTTTTTTTTTGAGATGGAGTTTTGCTCTTGTTGCCCAGGCTGGAGTACAATGGCGTGATCTCGGCTCACTGCAACCTCCGCCTCCCAGGTTCAACTAATTCTCATGCCTCAGCCTCCTGAGTAGCTGGGATTACAGGGATGTACCACCACACTTGGCTAATTTTGTATTTTTAGTGGAGATGGGTTTCTTTATGTTGGTCAGACTGGTCTCGAACTCCCAACCTCAGGTGATCCACCCGCCTTGGCCACCCAAAGTGCTGGGATTACAGGCATGAGCCACCGCGCTCGGCCATATGAAGATTTTTAAATTAGGGGTTGGTAAACTACACTCCAAGGGCCAAATCCAGTTCACTGCCTGTTTTTGTATGTTTTATTGGACCAAAGGTATGCCCACTCATTTATGTTGTCTATAGCTACTTCAGCGCTTTTTGAGTAAACAGATGTTGCATGGCTTACAAAGACAAAAATATTTCCTTTCTCACTTCTGTTCTCAATTATGAGTATTTTCTTCAGAGAAGATTTACACTTGCTTCTGCCAAGACCCAGGGCATACTACTGACCTGAAACAACCTCAGCCTTCTTTAGGACGTCGTCTCAAATTTGAACCTAGCTAATAGATCAAAGGCCTTCAGAGCCTCTATGCCTCTGCTAAAAGTAGCAGTCCAGTCTTCTTTGACTCTATTGTTGTGATTTCAGGATAGTATAGCTCTTTTAAAATTTATAATGATGGATCATTTCCACCCACAGAAGGTTTCCTTTTGTGGAATTTTTCTTACATTATTTAATAATTTCATTCTTAAGTCTCTTCTATTTTCCCTTTCTTAAACTATTACTATTGAATATGTTAGACCTCGGCTGGGCACGGTGGCTCACGCCTGTAATCCCCATTTTGGGAAGCCGAGGTAGGTAGATCATTTGAGGTCAGGAGTTTGAGAACAGCCTGGCCAACATGGCAAAATCCTGTCTCTACTAAAAATAAAATTAGCCGGGTGTGGTGGTGTACACCTGTAATCCCAGCTACTGGGGGAGTTGGAATTGGGGAGTTGGAAGTTGCAGTGAGCCGAGATTGCCCTACTGCACTCCAGCCTGGGCGACAGTGAGACTCCACCTAAAAAAAAAAAAAAAAAGTTAGACCTTATTTGATTCTCTAATTTATCAATTCTATTCTATTTTCTATTCCTTTGTCTTTGGGTTGTACTTTCAGGGTGAATTCTTCAACTTTATCTCCCAATCCTTCTAATGAATTACCTTGACTCTCATTTTTAATTTCTAGGAGCAATTCCTTGCTCTAAATTTTTTTTTGCTAACATTGTTCTTTTTTTATGGATACATCTGGTTTCTTTCAAAATATTAGTTATATTTGGGGAATATTTTTCTGATCTTTGCATTTTGTATCTACTCCCTACTCATGTCTGGTCTTTCATGTATAGAGATTTTCCTCAAATATCAGGCTATCCTGGGCTCTAAGTTCATATTTAATAATAGGGTATTAAAACAGCTAAATGGAAACCCAATATGTACCCACGACTTGGTAAATGGAGGGCTTCATTGAAGAGTGATAAGGTGGTAAACAGGCTTTATTATTGTTTTTATCATTAAGGGACAACCAAAATGCAGATCTTTTTTTCTGAGGCCATTTTACTTCTCCAAAGAAAAAAAATCTGGCAGACAAACTAGACATGATTGCCAGTATCCTGGGAAAAGGTAGGGAGCCCACATACAAATGCAGATTTTCACTTCCTCCATATTTTCAACCCTGTATCTTATTCATACCTTCTTTTATCCCTGGTATCCTCTAAGTCCATGTTCTTCCAGTGCAGTTTCTCAAAAGAATTAATCTCTGGTCTCCTCCTGCTTGAAAAGGGAGGGCAGAAAGTGGCCACCTGATTTTTTTTGTTTTTTGAGACAGGGTCTGACTCTGTCACCCAGGATGGAGTGCAGTGGCATGATCTTGGCTCACTGCAACCTCAGTCTCTTGAGGAGGTTCAAGCCGTCCTCCCACCTCAGCCTCCCAAGTAGTTGGGACTTCAGGTTCACACTACCACGCCTGGCTTTTTTTTTTCTTGGTAGAGATGAAGTTTCACTACATTGCTCAGGCTGGTCTCAAACTCCTGGACTCAAGCGATCTGCCTCACTCGACCTACCAAAGTGCCAGGACTACCGGCATAAGCCACCATGCCTGGCCTCCATCTGACTTAAGTAGGGTTGGGGAAAGATAGTTTAATTATTCTGTATCCACACTTTCAACCAATCTTTTTTTTTTTTTAACATCCCAAGCACCATCTCTGCATCTGAGCACTGGTTCCTTCAAGGTTCTGAGCACCTACCTCGTGTGGTATCCTGGCTTCTTTCTCATTGCATTGCCTTTTGCAGTCACTCAGTTAAAGCTTCTTTGGTTCTGGTTCTACTAAGTCAGTCATTCTTTCTCGATCTGCATTTTGTTTCCCAAAATTTTACTTTATCCTTTGATTTCTTCTCTCCTGTTCCATTTGTCATAGTGTAGTTACACTTTATGGACAATTTACTGAGATTTCAGGAAAGAAAACAAAAGCTAATTGCAGTATTTAGCTGGGAGGCTTCAAATTGAATTTGTAAATAATCCTAAAATATAGGACATAGAAATGTTTTCCATGTTTTTATCTTTCTGTACTTTAATTAAAATCACCCCACCTAAAAGCCAAAAACCTATTTTATCATTAGTGATTCTTATTAGAACTTTCTTAATATAGCAGATCTATACTTGCCTATAGATAAAAACACAATAGAGCAAACGAAGGATAAGCAATCATTGAATAGGAAAATGAATATATTTACAAATATATTGGTAAGATACAGAAATTTGTAAAGCAAATCACATTTTAATATAGTTTTAAAAATTCTTCCAGATATAACAACAAATTTAATCAGAAAAAAATACCTGAAACATCTTAATTAACCATTAGTACATTATTTTAAAAGGTTATTTCCCTGATTCCTTGGCTTACTATGTTGTATTTATAAAGGTATAAACTACTGATTTTTCCATTTGAGTATTTTATACTAAATGTAGTTTCTTTAGTGATAATTATAAATAAAATTGTTGACTAAGATCATGTGTTAAATAGGGGAAAAATTTCCCTCAGTAAACTGGTAAAGACTGTAAGTTGATATTTTCAAACTTTTGATTAATATAAAGTAGTAAGCAATAAAATCCGCAGCCCCACAAAAACCTCAGCTTTTCTATTGCAAAAATCTTTATAAAAAGTGTACTGAGTGCAATGTATTATCCAAGTTTGTTTTAAAAATCAAAAAAACATACCAAAATAATTCATCAAGAAATCAGAGCAAAGAAATAGTTAACAGTATCAGGTTTGCTAAAAAAAAAAATAAATTACTGGCCGGGCATGGTGGCTCATGCCTGTAATCCCAGCACTTTGAGACGCCAAGGTGGGCAGATCACCTGAGTTTGGGAGTTTGAGACCAGCCTGACCAACATGGAGAAACCCATCTCTACTAAAAATACAGAATTAGCCAGGCGTGTGGCACATGCCTGTAATCTCAGCTACTTGGGAGGCTGAGGCAGGAGAATTGCTTGAATCCAGGAGGCAAAGGTTGCTGTAAGCCAAGAAGGCACCATTGCACTCCAACCCGGGCAAGAAAAGCAAAACTCCATCTCAAAAAATAAAAAAAATTACTGTCAAAGACATTTGAGGAGTCTAAAATGCATTTGTTGTAGCAGAAGGCTTCAGGCTGATTCTTAAACTGTTGTTAAAGCAACCTTTCCATGCTTTACAGTGAAAAAAATCAGCACAGATTTATTTTTAAAAATTATCAGTACCTTCAAAATAAGGTTTAAACTTGTCTTGAAAATATGGATTGGCTATGAAAAACCCATTATTTGACAAATTGGGTGAATTTTTTTTAGTGACCTAAAAGAAACTGGCTAAAACCCATGTATGACAGGGTTGGGAAGCTCTAATTCAGGTCAGAAAAGTGTGAGAGAGAGATCAGATCCTTTTTATGGAATGAAAGAACAACAATTTTAATATCTTTTTTGAAATAGTTAAACATTTTGGGCTCACTTAGTCTCTGTTACTTTCTTTCTTTTTATAGAGACAGGGTCTCAATATAATGCCCAGGCTGGCCTTGAACTCCTGAGCTCAAGCAATCTGCCTGCCTCAGCCTCCCAAAGTGCTGGAATTATAAGCATGAGACACCATGCCTGGCTAGTCTCTATTACTTTCTTTTTTTGTTTTTAATTATCTTTATTTTATTTTTTTACCTTTTTTTTTTTTTAAGACCGGGTTTTTCACCATGTTGGTCAGGCTGGTCTTGAACTCCTGACCTCAGGTGATCCGCCCACCTTGGCCTCCAAAGTGCTTGGATTACAGGGTGAGCCACCACGCCCGGCTGTCTCTATTACTTTCAAAAGATAGCAGTAGGCCAGGCACAGTGGCACACGCCTGTAATCCCAGTACTTTGGGAGGCTGAGGCAGGAATACTTGAGCCCAGGAGCTGAGACCAGACTGGGCAACACAGTGAAATCCCATTTCTATAAATGAAAACAAAAAAAACAGCAGTAAGCTAAAAATATTAAAATATCAATACTAGCTTATTCTCAAAAACAATTTTCTGCCATATAAATAAAAAGTGCTTATAACTAATAATATACATTAAAAATGTCAACTCTTAAGATCATAAAAGGCCTATCTCACCTCCAGCAATAAGAGTGGTATATGCTAAGGGACACCATGATATTTACAGAAAACAAAAATATATATTCAATTATTTCCTACAGTTCTAATATAGTCATTATACCAATAAGCATAAATCTTATTTTGATATGGTAATTAAAACAAACAAAAATTATTATGACAGTAAAATGCAAGGAACCAACTCCTCGTTAGGGATTTCTGGACATGAAGTATTTTTACTAGTTCATAATGAAGTTAAATATGACTAGAATACAATTCAGAAAAGACAGGCTAATTTATTTGTTTTATATAATAGAATGAGAGCTTAGTTTAGATAATCAAGAGGTAACAGCTTCAAATATCATCTTCACCAAGAATCAATTTGTAGTGTTTCTTATTGATTTAAAGGAATCAGGAAGAAAAATTCATTTAATTTCTGCCGCCTGCCCAGTCACTTCAAAAATTCTTAAGGACGCTAAAATAAAAATATCTTGGATTTTGGTTAATTTTTAAAGTAAAAATTTCCAGATGCCCCAAAAGCAATGAGTTCAATTTGGTGTGTCTTGTGTTCTGGCAAAGAACAGTTAAGTTTATAGCTTTGGAGTTTCAGCTTTCAAATGCTGTGACCAATTATTTGAGAGTTATAATCTGCAGGCTCCATTTTCAAAATATGTGGGATAACACTGTCAATTCGTATGTTGCCAATGAGACCTTTGAAAAACAATTCTTCAGTGATGGTAGCGTTCATCAGTCTTAAAGCTGGCAATCTGAGTAGTAGTCTGGATAACCTAAAGAAAGTAAAAAGGGTGAGGAAAAAGGTTGTAAACCAGAAAGAAATTTAGTAGAAAAGTATGAGTAATTTCTGCATGTGGCCTAATTTAATAAAGATATTTTCAAAAGTTAAAATAAAAACTTTAGTATTCTCAAGCCTTACAGTAAATGGCAATTACTTGGGTATTAATGCAGTCTGACAGACTCCACAGGGGAAAGCCCTGCTCTTAGTGCTAGTGTACTGCCTCCACTTGGCTGTAAGGACCACGGAGCTGAGTTGTGAAACCATGCATCAAGTTATACAACTTTTTTTTTTTGAGAGGGCCTCACTGTGCTGACCAAACTGGAGTGCAGTGGTGTGATCTCGCTGCAGGCTCAATTCCTTGGGCTCGAGTGATCCTTTCCGCCTCAGCCTCCCAAGTAGCTGTGGCCCCATGCCACCATGCTAATTGTTTTTGTAGAGACAGGGTCTCACTATGTTACCCAGGCTGGTCTCACCATGCTGGGCTCAAGCAATCCTCCTGCATTGGCTTCCCAAAGTACTAAGATTATAGGCATAAGCCCCTGTGCCAGGCCAAGTTATACATTTAAGAATGGTGGCTAGAAGACAGTGGCTCACGCCTGTAATTGCAGCACTCTGGAAGGCCAAGGTAGACAGATCACTTGAAATCAGAAGTTTGAGACCAGTCTGGCCAACATGGTGAAACCTCATCTCTACTAAAAATACAAAAAAAAAAAACCAACCAAAAAACAATTGGCCACACGTGACCAGCCTAACCGACGTGGTAAAACCTTGTCTCTACTAAAAATACAGAAAAATTAGCCGGGCATGGTAGCACATGCCTGTAACCCCAGACACTAGGGAGGCTGAGGCAAGATAATCACAAGCATCGCTTGAACTTGGGAGGCGGCAGTTGCAATGAGCCAAGATCATGCCACTGCACTCCAGCCTGGGTAACAGCAATACTCAGCCTCAAAAAAAAAAAAAAAAAAAAAGGCTTAGTAACTCCTTTTGGGTTTTAAGAATGACAATGTTTTGTGTCAGAACATAAGACATTTTCCTGGTTTTGCTCTGCAAGAAAACTACTGGAAATGGCAAAACAGTTGTTTAACTGGAAGAGCAGAGAACACGGAATCAAGACCGTTGGGTTCAAATCTTGATTGAACTGCCCACTACCTATATAAATGTGTGCATGCCACTTACTGTCTCTCACAGTGCTGTTGCAAGGATGAATGAAATGATCCCTGCCAGTTTCTGTGCCAGGTGGTGAGGTTCCTTAGGGCAGGACCCTATCTTGTGTGAAACTGCCTTATAAGTTGAAAACTACTATCCAAGGATAATGTATTGTTTTTAAGTAACCAAGAACATGAAAAACTGAGAAAGAGTTGCAGTCACAAAGGAGAAAAAATTTATTTGTAAATGAGGTATACAGTGACCTTTTTTTGTTTGTTTTTTTTTTTTTGGACGAGTCTTACTCTGTCACCCAGGCTGGAGTGCAATGGCTCAATCTTGGCTCACTGCAACCTCCTCATCCCGGGTTCAAGTGATTCTCCTACCTCAGCCTCCCGAATAGCTGAGATTACAGGTGCCTGCCACCATGCCCAGCTAATTTTTGCATTTTCAGTGGAGACGGGGTTTCACCACATTGGCCAGGCTGGTCTCAAACTCCTGACCTTAGGTGATCCACCCGCCCTGGCCTCCCAAAGTGCTAGGATTATAGGCGTGAACCACTGTGCCTGGCCTAGAATAACTTTTAAAGATGCTGAAAAACAACCACAACAAAACCACCTTTCCAAAAAGATTGTGGTGGGTTTATCCTTCTGTCCTAAGGCCTTGCACTCTTAACACTTCAGACCAAATGAGACCAGCAGCCCCCAGGATGAAGTGATCTTCCTGTAGCTGTGTGCTCTACTTCTCAAATTACTCAGCATCCACAAATTACTCAGCATCTACAGAACTGGTAGAAAGCAGGATAGGAAAACAAGTTAGATAAACTAAGGTTGATATTTGAGATGAGACTGGTTTATAAATCTACATTTTTAATATATATAAAAAATTATTATATTTATAAATGTTATTTTACTAGTTTGAAGTATGCTAAACTAATAAAATGTTTTATTTATTACAAGCAAACACACTTACACAGCCTATACTATATGATAGGCACAGTCCTTAGCACTTTACATATATTAACTGATTTAATCCTTAAAATAATTGTAAAAAGTGAATAGTATTATTATCTCCATTTATAGGTAAGGAAATATGCCCAAGGTTATGAAATTAGTAAGTGCCAGAGTCAGGATTCAAATCCAGATACTCTGGCTTTGTAACCATGTGCTTAACCCCTTGGCTATAATGTCCCTCTTTAAAAAGAAAGTGGCTCTTATTAAAAAAAAGTTTTCTCAAAGAACATTGGCAAGCAATAGCTTGGACAGAATTTTATAAGCCATGTTTCAAAATTAATTATAAAATAGTCGAATATTGTTTGTTATTTTTTAGTATTATTTTAGACAGGGTCTCGCTCTGTCACCCAGATCACTTTGTAGCAAAGCGATCACAACTCACTGCAGTCTCACCTCAGCTTCCTGAGTAGCTAGGACTACAGGCATGCGCCTCCACCCCCGGCTAATTTTTGCATTGTTTTATAGAGACAGGGTTTCGCCATGTTGTCTAGGCTGGTTTCTGATTATTTTTTATCCTCTTTTTACTAACAAAATTCATTATTTTATCTGAAGAAAAAGAGTTTGGATTTTAGAGTCAGACTACCTGGGTTCACAGACAGGTGCTATCATTTACTGTGTGACCTTGAGTAAAGTTAACCTGCCTGCGTTGAAGTCTCCTCACATAAAATGTAAGAACTGGATGAAATGTTTTATGTAACGTACTTGCAACAATGCAATACTATTTTTTATAGCATTAGTATTTCAAAGGTTAAGACTGCCTAAAACGCATAATTACTGTAAGACTAGAAATAATGAGATAACAGATCCACAAAAGGTTTTTAAATTATTTTAATTATATAGTATTTAACTCTAGATACCTGTAGGTGTCATCTGGATATGTTTTGGTTATATAATCTTGGAATTCCACATAAGCTTTTTCCTGAAATTTCTCTATCTGTTCCATGTTTTCTAGGCCTGGATGATCTGAAACATTAAAGAATACATTGGCACCCTAGTTTTGAATGTTCATTTAAGACACTGGAGATGGAAAGAATAGCTAAGTCAAAAAAGAACCCTATCAAAAAATGTGTGGCTCATTCTTTCCACAAATACTGACTGAGCCCACCTACTATGCACCAAGCACTATATTTTACATATTTAAAATTATTTTTCATCTCATATACATATGCCAACAACTAATAAAAAACAAGTGGGTGTTACCAAAATAAATAGTTTTCTCACCATTCCAAAAGTAGTAGGAAGGTATTTGGTAACTTTGCTTTTAACAAGAGCAAAAGGCTAAAATGACTCAGCTTAAAAAGACATTTTAAATCCACGAAATATTTGCAGATTATATTCTATGCCATATTTTTATAAGACAAAAATTCCATTAATTTTAGGTAAAAAGGTATATAAGAAATTATGAAACCATAAATATCATCTCTATCAGAAAAATTATAACAAATATGAAATCTATAAGCATTTCAATGATCATTGTAACATTTAACAAAAACAGAAATATTAAAAGAACTTCATAAAAATTATGCCTTGCTTAAGAAATGCTGAATATGGAAAGCCCTGTTCTCATGGATGAAAATTTTAAAAACAAATGGAAAATCCTAAAAATACTTCGTAAAATAAAATTAAAATCAATACATTAGAATTTAAACTTCAAATCTATGTTCTTTCAATTTTCACCCAAGGAAAATGAGGGTGACAAATTGTGATAAGAATAGAGACATATGACGGGTGCGGTGGCTCATGCCTGTAATCCCAGCACTTTGGGAGGCTGAGGTGGATCACCTGAGGTCAGGAGTTCGAGACCAGACTGACCAATATGGTGAAACCCCATCTTTATTAAAAAAAAAAAAAAAAAAAAAAAGAATAGAGACATATGTTACTAACTCACAAGAAACATCAGAAGAAACAGTACAACACGCTTTAATGTATCACTGGCAGAAAGAAGCAGGTTTCCTCAGATAATTTTATTATGATGCACAAGAACAGAAACATATATCTGAATGAAAAATACAGAACCTAACTTAGAGAACAATTTCTCTTATTCAGAAATTGATCATTGAGAGTTTACCATCATTTTATCATCTATGAAAACTGTAAACTGGAGGAAACAAGAGACCAGTTTTTCCATTTGTTGGTAACTCATATAAGATGTTTGGAAATTTAACCCAGCATCATAGTAATACTCATCTCTCATTCTGCCATTTAGTAACGCCTAAAAATACACACCTAAGAATTCAAGGCATAATTTTTATGAAGTTCTTTTAAAATTTGTTTTTGCAAAATATTATAGTGACCACTGAAATGCTTAGTGTTTCATATTTCTATTATAATTTTTTTGATAGAGATGATATTTATGGTTTCATAATGTCTTATATACCTTGATGTGGCAACAGAAATAGAGGTCTATATTATTTTTTATATTTTATTGCTGAGACAGCATCTCTCTCCGTCTCCCAGGCTACAATGCAGTGGCGTGACCAGAGCTCACTGCAGCCTCAAACTCTCAGGCTCGAGTGATCCTGCCACCTCAGCCTCCTGAGTAGCTGAGACTACAGGTGCACACCAGCACATCAGCTGATTTTTTCCATTTTGATTTTTGTAGAGAAGACGTCTCATTATGTTGCCCAGACTTCTCAAACTTCTGACCAATGCTCCTACCGTGGCCTCTCAAAGTGTAGGGATTACAAGCATGAGCTATTGCACCCTGCCAAAGTCTATCATATTATTTCACTGACTTCTCAACCTCCCTTTTCATACCCCAATAAATGTCTAACATCGTTAAAATTCACCAATTTAAAGTATGCAATTCAGGCTGGGTGCAGTGGCTGACGGCTGTAATCCCAGAACTTTGGGAGGCTAAGCAAGGCCGGCAGATCACCTTAGGTCAGGAGTTCAACATCAGCTTGGCCAACATAGTGAAACCCGCCTCTACCAAAAATACAAAAATGAGCCGTGCGTAGTGGTATATGCCTCTAATCCCAGCTACTGTGGAGGCTGAGGCAGGAGAATCACTTGAACACGGGAGGCAGAGATTGCAGTAAACCAAGATTGTGCCATTGCACTCCAGCCTGGCTGGGTGAGAGTTAGACTCAAAAACTATATATACAGAGTGTACAACCATCAGAACAATCTAATTTTGGAACATTTTTGTCACTCCAAAAAAAAAACTTTACTTATTAGCAGTCACTTCACATTTCTTCCTTTTCCTTAGCCTGTGGCAACCACTTTACCTACTTTATGTCTATACAGGTTTGCCTATTTTGCATATCTTATGTAAATGAAATCAAAAAGTATGACTGGCTTCTTTCATTTAGCAGAACATTTTAAAGGTTCATCCGTGTTGTAGTAGGTACTAGAATTTCCTTCCTTTTTATGCCTTAATGATATTCCATTGTATGTATAGATTATATTTTATTTATTTCTTCATCTGTTGAAGGACATTTGGGTTGTCTCCACTTTTTGGCTATTATGAATAATGCTGCTCTGACTATTGATACACATTCTTGCACAGATACGTATTTTCATTTCTCTTGGGCTGACAAGAGTGAAGATGCTGAGTCATATAACTCCATGTTTAACCTTTTGAAGAACTACTAAACTCTTTTCCGAAGCAACGGCACCATTTTACATTCCCACTTGCACATTATGAGGGTTTCTATTTCTCCACATCCTGAAACATTTTATTTTGAATGAATAGTAAATGTTTATATACCTGGACTGAAGAGTACTATTGCCTTCAGGTAGGCATATTCATATCCATCAATGCAGAGTTTAACCATGCTGTTACAAAACTCCTGTAGTCGGAAGATGTGGTCCATCAACAATTTTCTTCTTTCTGTTGACATTTTATCTTTAATTAAAAATAAACAAATGTTTCTAGTTTTTGTCTAAAATGAACAACTACTTTCATCCAATATATTTCCCTCAGGAATTTTGAAAAATTTTCTAATTCTTAAACTTTTTTTGAGACAGGATTTACTCCTGTTGTCCAGGCTGGAGTGCAGTGGGGTGATCTTGGCTCACTGCAACCTCCGCTTCCTGGACTCAAGCAATTCTCCTGCCTCAGCTTCCCAAGTAGCTGGGATTAGAGGTGCATGTTACTATGCCCGGCTAATTTTTTTATTTTTCATAAAGATGGGCTTTCACCATGTTGCCCAGGCTGGTCTTGAACTCCTGGGCTCAAGTGATTAGCCCACCTATACTTCCCAAAGTGTTGGGATTACAAGCATGAGCCACTGTGCCTGGCCTTCCTCTCATGAATTTTAAGCTTTGAGTATAACCAATATAGAAATGTTTAAATTTCAGTATTTCTGCAATTATAGCTAAAACTAATCATCTTAAGATACTGTTCATTCAACAACAAGCTGTTAGTATATAATCTGTATAAAAATTCTAAGTAGAAAAGTTTATATTTCTTTTTTTTTTTTTTTGAGACAAGAGTCTCGCTGTCGCCCAAGGCTGGAGTGCAGTGGGCGATCCTGACTCACTGCAACCTCCACCTCCTAGGTTCAAACAATTCTCCCACCTCAGCCTCCCGAATAGCAGGGACTACAGGTGCACATTACCATGCATGGCTAAATTTTGTATTTTTAGTAGAGTCAAGATTTCCCTATGTTGGCCAGGCTGCCTGCTTCAGCCTCCCAAATTGTGAGCCACCGCACCTAGCCAGGTTTATATTTCATCTTAATTCTTTTGATGTTGCAAAGGTACTTTTAAAAAATGAATTAGTTTCTCATGGTAATTGCTTTTGGAAAAAAGTTATATATAAAAAATGGATTATTTGAATGTTTATGGTACCTGAATTGTTTTTTTTAAAAAAAGGAAGAAAACTTTAAATGTAATGGCTCCTTTAAAAAAAAAAAAAAAGAAATGGATCTCAATCTGTTGGCCAGGCTAGGGTGCAGTGGTGCAATCATAGCTCACTGCAACCTCAAATTCCTGGGCTCAAGTAATCCTCTGCCTCAAATTCCTAAGTAGCTGGGACTACGGGTATGTGCCACCATGGCCAACTAATTTTTAAAAATTTTTTGTAGAGGTGGGGTACCACTATATTGTCCAGGCTGGTCTCAAACTCCTAGGCTCAAGCAATCTCACCTCAGCCTCCCAAAGTGCTGGGATTACAGGTGTGAGCCACCCCGCCTGGCTGAAATGTTTGCTTTCAAGATACACCTTTGAGAAGATAGAATGTAAAGATAACCATCTAAAACACTGCAAAACTAGAATAAGACTCAAATTTTGTTAATAGGACTTTATTTAAACTTATATTGGTTGGGAAAAAATGAGCAAGACCATCTACATGTTTTACTACCAAGACTACTATAATAAAAACAAATAAGTAGTAAAAATATTGTTAAGAAGAAAGAAAACTGAAGCAGAATAAAGTTTTACAATAAAGATTTTAATACTTAAAAGTGTGTTATTGACTTTGGGGAAAAAGAGATTTTAATTTATAGCTGAGGGACAGATGTAAAACACATCCATTAGTAATTAGTCAACCACAGCTTTCCTGAAGGTAGGCTTTATAACCGTTACAGGCATGTAAGACATGAACCAGGGGTAGGAGTCCATAAGTAAAATGGGAATGTGATGCTGCCTTCTGGTATATCTATTTTTGATGACATTTTAAGGTGATTACCCCTCTGCTATTAAATATAAGGAAGAAGCAAATGACTTAAAAATTATCTAAAACAATAAGAAATAGAATGTACTAGGGAACTAAAAGGTAGTCTCCAATTTATAAATTATTCCTGAGCTCAAAGGCAATTTTCCCCATTTGTTAATGGGGCACTGTTTGGGGTAATCATAAGCCATTCTATAGTTAAACATTTCTAAGTCAGTGAGTGGTCGTTTCGTGAAATGAATGAGAGCTGCAATTACCTTGGCATCTAGGAAAGGAAAAATAGAATAAAAAGTATTGTTCCTTCACTCTTCAGAACTGTTTAGGTGAAAGAATACACCCTGATGAATTGATAAAAAAATCAATCTATCTTAGGATTCAGAGGGCTATAATAAAGAAAGGCAGTTTAAAAACTGTTGAGCAGTATATATTTTAAATATTTGATCACCTCTACAGAAGCGCTCACCCTGGATTCTTTGACAGTTGCACGAAAATTCACAAGGCCTAGTCTGAAATAGCCTGGCTTAAGTATACTGTCTTCAATTTTGTTGTACTCTCTTTAAATATTTTTAGATGACCCGTGAATTTATAAAATTGTAAAAACTATCTAAAGTAAGAAGAGCTTTGGTACCTAAAACACTAATATAATTATTAGATATCTAACTTTAGTCATAACATTCAATGAAACTCATGCCTCCTACATCCTGGAAAAGGTAATAAGGAAGGTGCTTTTTACCTTGTTGAAGACTATTGTGAAGACAATTGACAAATGTTGCTAATATAGTTGCTACATTCATCACTTGCCAGCACTGGGCAAGACCAAGAGTAAAAAGTTCATTCCAGTAAGCTTTCACCAGTAATATGCTGTTTTCTTGCCTATTAAAAACAGTAATAAAAGCACAAATCAGATATTATTAAAATAAGCTTTATAAACCTTACTTCTAGTCCAAATATTTAAAAATAACATAACTAAACTAAAATTACTCTAGAAAAGATCTGATCGAGTCTGTGTTTTGTATAGCTGATAACAAAATAAGAAACGAGAAATGCTTAGACATTTAAATAGTAGCTAGCTCAGTATCAATCAGCCAGTTTATAAGAACAACTGCAAGTAATATTTCAAACTAAACAAGCTGGGGCTTTAACTTTACATTTCATAGAAATGGAATAAAAATTGTTCTTAAAATAAAAGCAAACACATATATTAAAAAAAAAAAAAAAAAGACCAGCAACAACCACTGTTTCCAAGCTTTCTTTTGCTCTGAGTACAGATAAATATTGTTAAAAAGAAAGGGCAGTTCGAATTTTTTTTTTTTGAGACAGAGTCTTGCTCTGTCACCCAGGCTGGAGTACAATGGCAAATCTCAGCTCACTGCAACCTCTGCCTCCTGGGTTCAAGCAATTTTTGTGCCTCAGCCTCCCAAGTAGCTGGGATTACAGGCATGCACCACCAAACACAGCTGATTTTTGAATTTTTAATAGAGGCAGAGTTTCAACATGTTGACCAGGCTGGTCTTTAACTCCTAACCTCAGGTGATCTGCCCGCCTTGGCCTCCCAAAGTGCTCAGATTACAGGCATGAGCCACCGCTCCCAGCCTCTATAATTATTTTACAATAGGCAAGCAACCAATTTTAGGAGAAAAAAAAACAATTAGCTGGGTGCTATAGCACATGCCTGTAGTCCCAGCTACTCAGGAGGGTTACGGTGGGAGGATTGCTTGAGGCCAGGAGTTTGATGGGGTAGCACACCATGATTGCATCTGTGAAGAAACACTGCACTCCAGCCTCTAACCTGGCACAAGAAGACCCAGTCTCAAAAAAAAAAAAAAAAATAAAAAAAATTGAGAGGTATATGCTAGGTACTAGAGAAATAGCAATTAAGTCGATTAAGTTTGCATTCATGAAAAAGAGGGGAAATAACAAACATATAATATTATTTTATATAGATAATACATACACATATATGAATATATATATACATTAAGTTAGTTTTAGGTAATATAAATTCTACATTATTATAAAGTATGTATATTAGAAAATGGGAAGGTTCAGGTAAGGGTGGTTAGAGAAGGCATTTTTGAGGTTGGTGACATTTGAGTGGAGAAAGATGGTAGAGAATTACAACAAAAAAAAAAAACAAACCAAAAACCAGAAAGATCTAGGGGAATAGTATCCCAGGGAAAACAAGGGCAAATGTGCTAAGGTGAGAACAGACATACAATAGGTATTCAAAAAAAATTGTTGAGTGAATTACTAAATCCTATCCTATCGTCCTGGAGAGATTTAAGTTGTTGAGAACATCCTTATAGGAAATTATGTCCAACCTGATGAATGGTACTTACATATTTTTTCTTAATAAATAAAGCTTTAAAATCCTAATTTTAACAGTGTGTTTAACAGAAATCATTTGTTAAGAATCACAGCCTTATTTATGACATTACATTTTATTAAATAATTGAACATACTTGAAACAAATGCTAACACTGCTTAGTCACAGCAAGTTTTTTCTGAGAATTATTAATGAGAAATTTTAATTCCAGGCTGATCTCTTTTTTGTTCAGTATCTGAGAAGGATTACTTGCCACAAGAAACTATCATTGGAAAGTAAAATTTAAAGGCAAAGAAAACCAGTATTTTACAATCTCCATATAGAAAATGGTTAAAAATATCAATCTTAGTTAAACAAAATCAAAGGAAATAAAGGTAAAGGATACTATTTTCATTAAATATGGATAAAAATCCAAAATTAAGGAAGAGGTGAGGAAATAAGCATTCATTCTCATAATTGCTGACATGAGCATAAACTGGATCAACATCTTTTCAGAGAACAATTTGGTAGTAGTCATGAAAAATTAAACTGTACACTTTCTTAGACCCAGCAATTTCACCTCTAAGAAACTATTTTATAGAAATACAGTCATGCATAGCACAACATTTTGATCAGCAATGTACCGCATATACAATGATGGTCCCATAAGATTATAATACTATATTTTTATGTAAACTTCTCTATGTTTAGATACACAAACATTTACTATTGTGTTACCACTGCCTATGTTATTCAGTACAGTAACATGCTACACAGGTTTGTAATCTAGGAGCACTAGACTATAGCATATAGCCTAGATGTGTAGTAGACTTGTGTAAGTACACTCTATGATGTTCATAATGACAAAATTGCCTAATGATGCATTTCTCAGAATATATAGCCATCGTTAGAGCAATGCATGCTTATACTAAGAAGACTATACTAACAAAAGTGGGCAAAAATACATATACAATGCCACAAAACGCACATTGTAGCACTGTATATAGTAACAGAAAACCGGCAACAACCCAAATGTCTCCTAATAAGGAATAAGTGCATAAAATGGAATACTATAAAAGAAGCCGTAAGGACAAATGGGGTAAATTTACGTGTACGAACACAGGAAGAAGTCTATGAGTATAAAAAGCAAGGCAAAGAATAGAATGTGTAAATATGTGTACCTTTTTGTCTAATAAATATCTCAAGGAAAAATTCTCGTAGAACACAAAACTGTTAACAGTAGGGTTAGTTACCTCTGATGAGTGAGATTTTACTTTATAGTCCTATACTTCAATATTACTTTAAACATTTAAAAAAAAGTTAAAAGCTAACATGAAGGAAGTTAGAGTCAATTCAGTTTTCACTTTAAACCCCTGACTCTAATTTTTTTTTTGAGACTGGGTCTCACTCTGTCACCCAGGGTGGAGTGCAGTGGCACGATCTCAGCTCACTGTAACCTCCACCTCCCGGATTCAAGCGATTCTTCTGCCTCAGCCTACCAAGTAGCTGGGACTACAGGTGTGTGCCACCATGCCTGGCTAATTTTTGTATTTTTAGTAGCGACGGGGTTTCACCATATTGGCCAGGCTGGTCTCAAACTCCTGACTTTGTGATCCACCCTTGTGATCCATCTCCTGGATTCAAGTGATTCTCCTGCCTCAGTCTCCCAAAGTGCTGGGATTACAGGTATGAGCCACCATGCCTGGCCTGATTCTGAAGTTTTAAGGAGGAAACAGCTAACCAAAGTAGTTTACTAGTAAACACAGCGACGGGAAAAAAAATCAGAGCAGGCCTGTATTATGCATCTTACAGTAAGAAAATACCTTGGCATTGTTGGAGAAGCCCAGAAAAAAGGAGTATAAGTGCAAAGGATAAGAATACCATAACTATTACTAAGGAAAAAAGACACAAGTGGCAGATGAGAAACAGCCTACCAAAATATTGTGTTTCCAAAAGATAAGTCAAAGGACTGTAGAAACCAACTACAGAAAGATATCTATTTACATTTATCCAAACCCCCAAACCAAAAATCTTTATGGTATAGCTATGTTTTTTAAAAGTTCAATTACATTAGGAAAGAAAAACAGCAGGCCACTCTAAAAAGGTAGTCTTCAAGAGAATGAAGAAAAATGACCTTTTATTATCTACTTTGCAGCAGGCAATGGCTTAGATACATTTACTTTCATTATCTCACCTACGTGGTGTAGTTCATAATCAAGTGTTTCTGCTCCTAATTTACAGACACTGAGCCTCATTTAATTTAGGTTACTTGGTCCAAAGACATAAAAGCCAGCAGATGCATCAAAACAGAATTTGAACGTTTATGCTCCTTTATACCTCATTACACAATTTAGCAAGTAAAATGCTAAAGTCAAATTTCTTAGTATAGACGCCTCCATTTAAGGTTAATATTTTGGGATGGTAAGGGCATGTTTGCTACCAGTTTTTCCTGTAAGGAAAAGAAAACAAATGACTATTGTAGTTTATGTTCAAAATATCTTTCCTTTAAGAAGCAAAAAGAGCTCAGTGGAGACTGTAGTTAAGATTATCAATAAAGCATTCAAAAAGCAACACAAGTGTTGACGTTAAAAAAAAAAAAAAAGGCCAGATATGATGGCTCATGCCTGTGATCCCAGTACTGTGGGAGGTTGAGTTGGGAGAATCACCTGAGGCAAGGAGTTCGAGATCAGCCTGGACAACATAGTGAGACCTCAATCTCCATTTTTTAAAAAAGCATTAACTTGCAAAACACTAATGTGTTAATTTCTTTTACAAATAAGTACAGGTATTTTTCTCTAACTACTGCACTATTTTGTGAGTTTGCTTTTTTTTTGGAGGTGGAGTCTCACTCTGTCACTCAAGCTGGAGTGCAGAGGCATGATCTTAGCTCACTACAACCTCTGTCTCCTGGAATCAAGTGATTCTCCTGCCTCAGCCTCCTGAGTAGCTGGGATTACAGATGCATGCCACCATGCCCAGCTAATTTTGGAAATTTTAGTAGAGATGGGTTTCACCACATTGGCCAGGCTGGTCTTGAACTCAAGTGACCCACCTGCCTTGGTCTCCCAAAGTGCTGAGATTACAAGCATGAGCCACCACACCCAGCCTGTATTGTTAACGTTCATTAAAATATGTACATAGGACTCACAATTAGAGATTATATAATTGTTTATACTATTTATTTTCATAAAGGAATATTAATTTTTGAGCCACCCATATCTGTTAATACTGAAGGCACTAGCCTCAGGGAAAAATATCAATGATATGGCAATGAACCCACAAAGTTACAGGCTTCAAAATCACAAAGTTCCAGGAAACATTATATTATGTTTCAGTGGTAATTTAAAAGATTCAGCTTTCTGGCTTAGCATTTAATGGAAAGCTATTGGTTACATTATTTAATAAATAAAATCTCCTGTGGTAAATGGTGGTGGGCTTGGAGCTTTTGGTTATATTTTAAGAATCTAGGTAGAGATGACTGCTGCCACACTTATTCCAGGCAAATAATGCCAAGTTCTCTCCACTACCCTGCAATGGAATCTACCACTACTCATCTAGTTACTTAACCTAAATTATACAGTGATAACTTGAAACCAACAACTGAATTCCTCTAAATACTGAAACTACAAATCTTAAAACACAAAATCAATACCTTTGTGAAATACAGAAGCCTTGTAAAATATAAACAATATTAACTGTGTACTGAAAATCAACACCTTTGTAAAATACAGAAGGCTTGTAAAATACAAATGGTACTAACCATGCACTGTTTAGTAAGATTCTTTAATTTGCCGTTCCCTTCAATCAAAGTTAGTGATCAAAATAATCTTGATTTTAGAAAATGATTAATGTTGCTTATCTGTTTCTCTCTGTAATATTAGGACTTGGTCACCAACTTTTTTTTTTTTCCTAGTTACCAACTTTTATATTTTGAGATAAAAATATAACCTAATGCCAGTTTCTACTTTTAGAATAGCTTTTATTTCCATATAACAGAATTTTTCCATCATTACCACTTAGTCCTTATTCATATGATTAAATCAACACATAAATAAGATCTATGAATCATCTAGATAGGGATAAAAAATAAGAGTCTGCATAATGGCCTTGATTGCTAGATCAAGTTATTCTAATTAAAAAGAATCTTGTGGTTGTTACATTGAAACTGATTCTCAATACAGATCACAGGAAAATGTGGCTGTGAATATATTATACTATAAAAATCACTTATTTTATAAACGGAAACCTCCTGAGGCCTTATTTTTGGTTTCTTCAACATCTCCACTATTTCCATAGGATAATTATACTCAATTTAATAGAAGTACTCAAGATCAGTGGTGTTGTAAGTAATTCAAGGAGTTCAAACCACTCCCCAAAATTCCTTTTGTCATTTTACTATAATAACTGATAGCTTATTATGAAAAATATCACCAGGTTACTTTTTAGACATATGAATGTGAGTTACAAGTTGAGTGAAATACACTTAATGTTTTAAGATTAAATCAATTGCTGGCCAGGCGCAGTGGCTCACGCCTATAATACCAGCACTCTGGGAGGCCAAAGTGGGCAGAACACTTGAGGCCAGGAGTTTGAGACTTGCCTAACCAATATGGCGAAACCCTGTCTCTACTAAAAATACAGTATTTTTACAGGTGTGGTGGTGCACAACTGTAGTTCCAGCTACTCAGGAGGTTGAGGCACGAGAATTGCTTGAACCTGGAAGGTGGAGGTAGCAGTGAGCCGAGATCACACTACTGCACTCCAGCCTAGGAAAGAGCAAGACTCTGTCCAACTAAATAAATGAATAAAATTAATTAATTGCCAATATGCAAATTTACATTCTATATTTTTTCTACAAACAAACAAACAAACAAACAAACAAACAAACAAACAAACATATTGGAGGTTGGGTGAGGTGTTGCATGCCTGTATGGAAGGCTAAAGCAGGAGGATCGCTTGAGCCAGGCAGTTCGAGATCAGTCTCAATGACAGAGGGAGAACTCATCTCTTTAAAAAAAAAAAAAAACCCACAAAGCAACTAGAGAAATTCTGAAAGCCAAATGTTAAAAAAGGACTAACAATCATTTTAAAGGTTAACCATTCTAGAAAATCAGGCTTTTAGTCTATGTAACTCTAATAGTTGAGTACATTATTTAATGCATGGTATATCTAATACTGATTAATAAACCAAATTATAATGTTAAATATGCCTTTATTCAGTTCTCAGTATGCCTTTTATAATCATGTTCATATGTTTCTTATATTCAAAATAGTCTCTACGGATAAGGTGTGGGTAATTACTATTCCCATTTGGCAAATGGAAGAACAGGTATATAGGATGTGAAAGTGAATTGTTTATAATATCATACTGGTGAGTAGGGTCCTGGAGATTAATTAAAACTTTCTAATTTTGAATAAAAACTTCCTAACCATGGGCTTAACTTTTTCTATTGTTTTGCCTTTACACATACTAGTTACTTTAAAACAATTTAAATACATTTGGCAAACTTTAGGTAAATCCTTAGTTTCTTATAGTAGGCCATTTTCTATCTCATCTGATTACTTCAGACCAGAATATAGATATACTTTTCTTTCTTTTTTTTAAGAGACAGGGTCTACCTCCGCCCCAGGCTGAACTACAGTCATGTGATCATGGCTCAGTGCAGCCTCGAACTCCTGGGCTTAAGTGATTGGCCCCCACTTAGCCTCTAGAGTAGCTGGGACTACTTGTGCATCACCATGCCCAGCTAATTAAAACTTTTTTTTTTTTGGTAGAGACAGGGTCTCATTCCGTTGTCCAGGCTGGTCTTAAACTCCTGGCCTCAAGCCATCCTCCTGCCTTGACCTCCCAAAATACTGGGATTACAGGCATTAGTTACTATGCTCAGCCTCAGATGTACTCTTTAGTGGTAAGACTAACCCTCTAAATCACAGTAGTGGTACTATGGGGGTTTATATTTTTTTTCTTTTTTTTTTGAGCCACATGATTGGAAAACAATTATCTTTACTTTTAACATAACCACTATAGGCAAAAATTTAGCTCTTTAGTAATATGCCCAGGATGAACACTGAAATAGTAGTGATGAGAGAGAAACATGAACCTAGAGCAGTCTTATAGTCATCTTTGAGCTAATGAAAGATGAGGCCTGTTACAAATGCGAGCCATACTCTATCAATTCCACTGACTATATTCCATCCAAATTCTTAGTCAAACTACAAAATATGGATACTCTTCCACATACAGAGAAATACTAGTTAGCTGCCATGATTTGTCATATGAATGACACAACCTAAAGTTATAATGTTATACTGTTTTCCTTTAATGTGAATCTTCCCAAATAAAAGTTCTTGTTTAATGTACATATGTACTATCAAATCACATTTATATTCAAGACTTCAAAAAACTCACCCTAGAGCCTGGAAAGAAGGAATCGAAAGTGCCCAGTGCATTGATAAGAACAGCAATCTGGAGGCAGACTCCCCAATGTAGTGCACATTCAGGTACTCAGGCATAGGAGAAGGCATGGTGAGCTAGTATGAACAGGGATTTAGGTAAATTATCTTAGGACTGAACGTTCCAATTTATAATTTCTTTGAAAAAGTTGAATGTAAACATATCAAATGACAGCTAATATATTCACAAAAAAAACTCATTTTGAAATAATCCAAGTCACTAGAATTTACAGCTAACAGGGCTTAGAATAAATGAGTAGCCCATAGTTCTAACAAAGCAGTATTCAGACAAGCAGAATCTCAATAAGTATCAACCATGGTATTACCTGGTTATGTTACTTCCTGTCTTGGTCTAACAATATGTTTCTTTTCCTTCCCTCTCTCCATTAACAATAGCATATAACAAATTCAGTTTAAAGAGAAATCCTGTCCAATAAATGTTTCTTTCATTTAGGCTAGGGGGTTAACAAATTCAAATGCTTACAGGCCCAGAAGAGTACAGAGTGCAACAGGCTTGCTGGTACCAACTGGGAAGAGCATATTCCCAGATAAAGGGCACAGCTGTGAATTGAATTCAGCACAACGAAAACATATGGAATTGTGGGCTCAGCACTGCCAGCTCTTTCAGTTTTTCAAAGAGCACATTCTGTGTGAAATCTCCCTATTTAAAAAACCTGGCAGGCCAAGCGCAGTGGCTCATGCCTGTAATCCCAGCACTTTGGGAGGCCGAGGTGGGGGGATCACAAGGTCAAGAGATCGAGACTATCCTCGCCAACATGGTGAAATCCCGTCTTTACTAAAATATAAAAAGAAAATTAGCTGGGGGTGGTACACGCCTATAGTCCCAGCTACTTAGGAAGGCATGGGAATCGACTGAACCAGGGAGGCAGAGCCAAGATCATGTAACCGCACTCCAGCCTGGCAACAAGAAGCCTGGCACTGAATAAAAAAACTTAAAACCTATTCTTCAGGTATGTCTGTGGACATACTACTAGCAAGTGGTCAGTTTATATTGCTGATCCAGCTCTTTAAAATGTTTGACTACTGTTGAAACTTTTTTCTATTTTGTAATTACTGAAATGATTAATAGTGTCAAGTATAGTGAGGGTACAGAAAACCAAGTACACACTACCGAGGGTGGGGTAATCTGGAGAACAATTAGTCTATTATCTACCCAAAAGTTTAAAATAAGTACAACCAATAATACCACTTTTAAATCTCTGTTCCAGCAAAATACTTGCAAAATGCACAAAAAAGCATGGGTAAGGATGTCTATTACAGCTCTACATCTAACAATGAAATTAAATGCTGGCAACAACCCAAATTTCTATCACTAGAGAAAAGAATAACCCATGCTATAGAATATATGTGGGCATTAAAATTAGAAAGATAAATTGTGATGTAATGGCATACAAAAAAAAAATCTCACAGGCAGCAGCTCTGAAACTGGGTAATGGTCAAAGCAAATAAAAGACAAAAAGGAAAAAAAAAGTCACAGACATCCAAGTAGAAAAAACTGTAAAACAGTATGTATTAAAATAATGACCCAATTTATATTAATGAATATGTATATATGTATACCTAAAAAGTACAGAAGGAAACCTGCCACACAGTTAACAGTGGCTACCTCTGGGGTGGGGCAGGTGGACGTGCCCATATGTATTTTTCTGGGGAATGACTATCATAGGTTTCAGCACATTCGTCCTTAACTTTTTTTTTTTGAGAACTAGTCTTGCTCTGTCACCCACGCTGGAGTGCAGTGGCTCGATCTCAGCTAACTGCAACCTCTGCCTCCTGGGTTCAAGCAATTCTCCTTCCTCAGGCTCCTGAGTAGCTGGGACTAGAGGTGTGGGCCACCATGCCTGGCTAATTTGTTTCTATTTTTAGTAGATACAAGGTCTTACCACGTTGGGCAGCGTGGTCTCAAACTCCTGACCTCAGGTGATCTGCCCACCATGGCCTCCTAAAATGCTGGAATTACAGGCATGAGCCACCACACCTGTTCCCTGAAAGGTATCTTCTATCTATAAGTCTTGAGGTTTGAAACACAGTTCCATAAAAATTGTAAAAAAAAAAAACCCTACTTTTGTTCATTATTAGCCACAAATGGTTTACCTATTTATAAATGGTACCAAGTAATAAAACAAAAGGGCAATTAATAGTGGAAATTCTGTAAGTGAAAAGAAAATTTTTTACGTATTTAAGAATGTTTGGCTCACACCTGTAATTCCAGCACTTTAAGAGGCCAAGGTAAGAGGATTTCTGGAGGCCAGTAGTTTGAGACCAGCCTGGGCAACATAATGAAACTCATTTCTACCAAACAAAACAAAACAAAAAACAACAAAAATTTTAGCCAAGTGTGATGGCTCAGGCCTGTATACCAGCAACTCAGGAGGCTGAGGTGGAAGAGCTGCTTGAGCCTAGGATTTTCAGACCAACCTGGGAAACATAGCAAGACCCCATCTCTAAAAATAAAAAGAAATTAGCTGGGCATGGTGGTGTGCACCTATAGTCCCAGTTACTTAGCAGACTGAGGCAGAAGGATCCCTTGAGCCCAGGTCGAGGCTGCAGTGAGCCAGGACTGTGCCACTCAATTCCAGCCTGGGTAACAGAGCAAGATCAAATCTTAAAAAACAAAATGTATCACATCTTTTCAGGATTACCCAAGGTGAATAAAAAGAGAGTCTAAAAATTAGGGGAAATACCAAAAATTACTATTTTGGGGGGAAGGGGCAAGTAAGTCACAAAACAACAAAAAAAGTCCTTTGCAGGGCCAGGTGTGGTGGCTCAGGCCTGTAATTCCAGCACTTTGGGAGGCCAAGGCAGGCAGATCACTTGAGGTCAAGAGTTCAAGACCAGCCTGCCAACATGGTGAAACCCTATCTCTACTAAAAATACAAAAATTAGCTGGGTGTGGTGGTGTACGCCTGTAATCCCAGCTACTCGGGAGGCTGAGGCACGAGAACAGCTGGAATCTGGGAGGTGGAGCTTGCAGTGAGTCAAGATCACATGTGCCACTGTACTCCAGCCTAGGAGACAAAGCAAGACTCAGTCTAAAAATTAAAAAAATATACTTTGCAAAATAGTTTATAATTGCATTTAAATAAAATATTAATACTTGAAATGTGTAAACACTGGATATAAAGGTTTTGATTACACAACAGTAGTGGTAACTCTGAAAACTTTCTGCTGCATTTAATCATAAAATGGAAATAGTTTACAACACACACTAAAGGGACTCGTTATTTAAAATACTACACCATATTGGGTTTACAGAGAAATGTTTTATAATCTGTTTCACATACTTAATAAAACTCTAGTATTTTGAATTAGAAAGCTAACGCTGGCTGAAGAAACAATAGTCCATTTAACAAGTCTTTGAGACTAAAGAGACAAAGATTTCTTCCTATCTTATAGAGAGACTGACCTTCCCCAAAATTCCTGTGGATCTTTAGGTTTATAAAATGAATTATACACATTTTTCAAATTAGAAAAGTTCAATATATTGAACTGAATTTTTTAAGAGTGTTGACAAGAACTAAACCTGATCAATCTATTTTAGAAGTTATTCCTTGCCTCTACAATTATCTTTCTAGCAGTTTCTGTATTGAAATCTGGTAACAGCCTGCTCGATACAGGCTTTAAAAAAAATCACTGGATGGCTGGGTGCGACGGCTCACGCCTATAATCTCAGCACTTTGGGAGGCCAAGGTGGGTGGATCATAGGAGCTCATGAGTTCGAGACCACCCTGGGCAACATGATGAAACCTCATTAAACCTATTAAAAAATACAAAAACCAGCTGGGAGTGGTGGTACATGCCTGTAGTCTCAGCTACTCAGGAGGCTGAGGTAGGAGGATGGAAGGCAGAAGTTGCAGTGAGCCGAGATCCTGCCACTGAACTCCAGCCTGGGCTATAAAGCCAGTCTGTCTCAAAAAAAAAAAAATTTCCTTGAAGGCTGAGCACAAGCACAGTGGCTCAGGCCTATAATCCCAGCACTTTGGGAGGTCAAGGTGGGAGGATCATTGCTTGTGGCCAGGAGTTTGAGACCAGCCTGGGCATAGTGAAACCCCAATCTCCACACTCATACAAAAAAAATCATTTGAGTTAGGAGATCTGGATTCTACTCCCAACTTTTCATTAATCACTTTTCCCTAATTACCAGTATGACTCTAGATTACACATTCATTCAGTAACTATTTACTGAGAGTTCACTGGGAGCAAGTGCTATTATCTCAGTGGAAGAATAAAAACTGAATGAGCTATAGAAAGGGCTAAGAAAGGCAATGGCATGCGTGAGAAACATGGGCAGCTGGATCAGAACATGGAGGGCCCTAAAAGGTAAAATTATAGAGACTGGACTTAATTTTATAACATATGGGCAATGGGAAGCTACTGAAGGCTGATAAGTAGCAAAATGACATAATTTGATTTTTAACAAATACAACACTTGGACCAGCACACAAGACAAAATGGAAAAGAAAGACTGGAAGCAAAGGTATTAGGGTAACAAATCAAGAAAGGAATTTTAAAAGGCCTAAAATGTGGTGAAGGAAATGAAGAGGAAGGCAGAAATGTAAGCAACAGAATGGTTAAAATCCTGTTATGGAACGAGTAAGGCTTAAGGAGAATGACTGCCTCCAAAGTTGCAAACATGGGTGACCAAAAAGACTGATTTTAACATTAAGATATTAAACATTTTAGAAATAAGTATATGCGATTTCCAAAACCACCTCATTTCTGTTACATATACATAATTTCTAACATGGAAATATGATCTACTGTAATTATTCTAAGGAGATTTTAAGAATCAAGTGAAATAAGGTACATGAAATCATACCAAAAGTTCTGAAGCTTAATAATCTTTTTTTTCTTCTGTCTTGATCGAGTTTTATCTATTTATTAATTTTGAGGATGGAGTCTCATACTGTTACCCAGGCTGTAGTGCAGTGGCACAATCTCGGCTCACTGCAATCTCTGCCGTCTGGGTTCAAGCAATTCTCCTGTCTCAGCCCAAGAGGCTGAGTAGCTGGGACTACACACATAGGCCACCACACCCAGCTAATTTTTTTGTATTTTTAGTAGAGACAGGGTTTCCCCATGTTGGCCAGGATGGTCTCGATCTCCTGACCTCGTGATTCGCCCATCTCGTCCTCTCAAAGTGCTGAGATTACAGGCGTGAGCCACCTCGCCTGGATTTTTTGTTTCATTTTGTTTTTTTGAGATGGAGTCTCATTCTGTTGGTTACGCTGGAGCATAACAGTATGATCCTGGCTCACTTGCAACCTCCACCTCCCGGTTCAAGCAATTGTCCTGCCTCAGCCTCCTGAGTAGCTGGGGTTATAGGCATGTGCCATTAAGCTCGGCTAATTTTTGTATTTTTAGTAAACACGAGGTTTCATCATGTTGGCCAGGCTGTCAAACGCCTGACCTCAGGTGATCTGCCCGCACAGGCCTCCCAAAATTTTAGGATTACAGGCGTGAGCCACCATGCCCAGCCAATAAAAATCATAAATATTACTACTGCCCTTGATTTTTCAAAATCAAACTTCAAGCTTCATTATTAGATGATTTCTCCTTATTACCAAGATTGCTTTAAATAAGACACTAAAAATCTCTAAATCTCTTTCCTCAGCCACAAAATGAGAATAAAAATTCTATCCCTGCCAGTGTGGTGGGTCATGCTTGTAATCCCAGTACTTTGGGAGGCCGAGGTGAGAGGATTGCTTGAGGCCAGGAATATGAGACCAACTTGGGCAACAAAGTGAGATCCTATCTCTACAAATAATTTTTTTTTAATTAGCTGGGTGTAGTAGCACATGCCTGTGGTCTCAGCTACAAGAGAGGCTGAAGCAGGAGGAGCCCTTGAGCCCAGGAGGTTGAGTCTGCAGTGAGCTGTGATTATGCCACTAAACTTCTGTCTCAAAAAGAAAAAATTAAAAATTCTAACCTCAACAGATGTGGTGAGGCTCAAAGGAAAGAGTGTATGTGAAAAGCGGCTGCAAACTACAGTGTACGTAGAAATGCAACAGTGGAACAAAATTATTCAGCTCAGCAAGTAAGAGAGGACTGAGTGGTTTGATTACAGATGTAAGGTCTTGAAACCCACAAGAAAACTTCAATGTGAGAACCATGAAATTACCAGACTCTAGCAGCTAAGTGGGAAATCACTAACAAGTAAAACATTTGACTTCACAAGGCTGTAAGACTCCGAGAAAGATGGAGTAGTCCTTTTCAGGAGAGTAAGAAAATTTGTAAGTGCTGACTGTGCAGATACTCAGGAAGACAAAATGGAATGACAAAAGCCAATCCTAGAAAGACAAAAAAAAGTTCTAATTTGCCAAATTCTTCTGTCCAAAACATTTCAAGACATCAAAAACTTTGAGGACCAACATCAACAATAAACAGGTAAACTACCCCTACTTTCTAAAGAGCACTCTGTCGTTTTCCCTCCCAATGGGTCCTGTTCTTACATCTCATTTCGTCCTTCCTCCCATTTAAATCCAAAGCAGAACATAAACCTAAGACAACAAAAGAATGTTTTTTATTTAGAATAAGGAAGAACAATGAGTAAATTCAAGTTTTGCCTTGTTCCATGGCCTTGTCCATATATCTTACCATAATTTTTTACAATGATACTAAGTTTTCCTGTAAGTGCAAAAAAAATTTTGTATTTTTTTCCATGTAAATTTTCTTTGGTAAAATTTTAAATAAAAATTTCTTCAGTGATCTATTTTATTGACTATATCAAATTATACTATTTTAAGCCACTGAGTTTTCTCTGTGGCTATTTCTATCAAGGTGAATTTTATAAATACAAATATTACTTTGCACTCACAATTTCTACTAAGGAAATTCACATATTTATTTGATCGCTGTACATCTTCTCCTAAGAAATCCATGGACTTTTATAATCTATAGTAAAAGTATGAGCAGTCACCTTCAGGCATTCCAGGACTGCTATATATTGCTAAGTGAAATCTATATGCATTCAATCCCTTTGCATACATCTTGCTAACAGTAACCTTAGCTAAGTGGTTAAAATGGAGGAGTCAAAACAATAGGATCTGAATGTGGGGTCTCCACAGTGAGCATGTCTATAACTATCCAAGCATTACTGAATGACAAATCAAATAGTAGAAAGTGATTTTCTAGTCTTCTACATGTATTATTTCTAGTTTTCTGCATGTATTATTTCTGTCATAATTAGGTTGGTGCAGAAGTAATTGCAATTGTTGGCATTACTTTTAGGGGAACAAAATAAATTACAAATGTACCTTCTCCAAAATGGCTAAAAAGTGTAAGTTAAAAACTGAAAGTTAAAATATATTATACAATTTGTATCTTTTAAAATTTTAATTTGTTATGTAATTTTTATTTATAATAGAGACGAAGTCTTGACATGTTGCAGAGACCGGTCTCAAACTCCTGCGCTCAAGCAATCCTCTGGCCTCAGCCTCCCAAAGTACTGGGATGACAGTGGGACCCACTGCACCTAGCCCATTTGTATCTTACAATAATGCTGAAAGCCAGCTTATTAGAGTGATACATAACAAATGGAGTCTTTGTAGTTACTATGGTAAGAGCAAAATATCTGGGTCTTTTTTTTTTTTGAGACGGAGTTTCACTGTTGTTACCCACACTGGAGTGCAATGGCACGATCTCGGCTCACTGCAACCTCCGCCTCCTGGGTTCAAGCAATTCTCCTGCCTCAGCCTCCTGAGTAGCTGGGACTACAGGCGCACACCACCATGCTCAGCTAATTTTTTGTATTTTTAGTAGAGATGGGGTTTCACTTTGTTTACCAGGATGGTCTCGATCTCTTGACCTCGTGATCCACCCGCCTCAGCCTCCCAAAGTGCTGGGATTATAGGCGTGAGCCACTGCGCCCGGCCAATATCTGGGTCTTAACTGATTTACTATAAAATAGTAGCTAGCTAGGCACTGAACAAAAGCAACACATGCAAAAGGCCTTAGCCTCCTGCATAGGTGTGCACTGACATGCCCAGCTTATCTGGTATCTTTATAAACAGAAAGCCTGAAGAAATTTTGTTTCTATATCCATATGAGTATGGTTTTTTTGTTTTGTTTTTATTGAGATGGAGTTTTGCTCTTGTTGCCCAGGCTAGAGTGCGATGGCATGATCTCGGCTTACCGCAGCCTGTACCTCCATTCTCCTGCCTGGGCCTCCCGAGTAGCTGGGATTGCAGGCATGTGCCACTACACCTGGCTAATTTTGTATTTTTAGTAGAGATGGGATTTCTCCATGTTGGTCAGGCTAGTCTCGAACTCCTGACCTCAGGTGATCCGCCAGCCTCGGCCTCCCAAAGTGCTGGGATTACTGGCATGAGCCACTACACCCGGCCCAGATGAGTCTGTTTTGCCTGCTGTTTTGAAATTCTATCAGGGATATTTCTGACTTTAAAAGCACAACAAAACATACTTTGATTTCTGAAAGGTGGATCAAAATCAAGCAACACAACATACAAATTAATAAAACATATAGAAATACCCTGAAAGCTACATGTGAATCGCTGAGAAGTGGCCCCTCTTTTTCGGTATAATTTATGCTTGATTCTCCAGGGATGAGGTGTACACTTCCTTCCATGCACGCTACTGAGCTCTGGCAGGCTGTGCTCTCTCCAGGATTCAATGCTTTTGCAAGAGTGTCAAATGCCCTGTAAGAAGACATCAGAAGCTGTGAGCCTGACCAAACACCACAATAAAATAACAATTCAATACAGGATTCTAGAATTAAGATTTAAGTCTAAAAAAATGGCCAGGCTGGTCTAGAACTTCTGACCTCAAGTGATATTCCTGCCTTAGCCTCCCAAAGTACGGGAATTACAGGCATGAACCACCATGCCCGGCCTAAAGTCTCTTTTTAAAATCTTGTATAATTAAGGGAGAGAAACATCTTTATATTTTCATATGACAATAGGCTTTTAAAAGTTGTATTTTGTCACTTGAGCCCAGGAGGGAAGGGCTGCAGTGAGCTATGATCACACCACTGTACTCCAGCCTGGGTGACACAGCAAGACCTTGTCTCAAACAAAATTATTTTTAATTAATCATTTTAAAAATACATTATATATTTGACACACATGACTATTAGCTCATTTATTTTGTATACAAAAGTTACTTAGAACAAGGGTAAGAACTTATGTCGACTTTAATATACACAGTACAATAGGTCTTAAATTTTATTTAAAAATTCAGAAAACATTTTACTCATGTTTATTTTGTCACTCTGTCACTCAGGCTGGAGTGCAGTGGCATGATCATGGCTCACTGTAATCCTGAACTCCTGGGTTTAAGCAAGCGATCCTCTGACGTCAACCTCCGCGTAGCTGGGATTACATGTGTGCAGCATCATGCTCAGCTAATTTTCAAATTCTTTGTAGAAACTGGGCCTCACTATGTTGCCCAGGCTGGCCAACTCCAGGACTTGAGTAATCCTGCCGCCTTGGTCTCCCAAAGTGTTGGGATTACAGGCATGAGCTACTGCAGCTGGGCAGAGTATTTTAAAATGTGTGGTCACATAGCTAAATCTAAACTGTAACAATTTGATATTAGAATAATAATGAATTAATGTTAGCAAATAATTACTCAAAATAGTTCCCCTTATTTTTCAACAATAGGCCTCCTAGACTTTCTTAAAATCTCATATTCAACAAAGTACTACTTATTGTTACTCTTAAATGTAGTTTATCAGTAATTATATACATATGTATATATAAGATCTTGACGGTGGTGGTGGTTTTCTGAGATGGCATCTCGCTCTGTTGCCCAGGCTGGAGTGCAATGGCGTGATCTTGATCCACTGCAACCTCCACTTCCCAGGTGCAGCAATTCTCCTGCCTCAGCATCCCGAGTAGCTGGGAATATTGGCATGCACCAACACACCCAGCTAATTTTTTCAATTTTAGTGGAGATGGGGTAAACCATGTTGGCCAGGCTGATCTTGAACTCCTGACCTTAGGTGGTTCACCCACCTCGGCCTCCCAAAGTGGTAGGATTACAGGGTTCACCCATCATGCCTGGCCAAATCAGTATATATTTATTGCTATCTTTTTTTTCTCTTAGAGATAGAGTCTAGTTGCTGGTTGACTCAAACTTCCAGGCTGAAGTGATCTTCCTGCCTCAGCCTCCTGAACAAATAATGTGTTCAGCTTATTCAATATTTTATATGATAAATGTAGTGTGGAAATTGTTTCTATATCCTAAGCATTAATATTTACAGAATGAAAAACAATTCTGATAGTACTTTCTTCAAGTGTAACTTAAAACTGAATATTAATGTAAAAGACTTAATGGTTAAACTAGTACTACAACTCAGTTGGTTAAACTAAGTCTGTTACATTAATTTTCATCACTAGAAATTGAAAAGCAGGATCAACATGATTGCCTAGAAAGACAAATATTTCACTGTTCACACACATCTCTATCTTTAGAAGAAAAAAATTCCTAAATTTTAAGACTACATTTCTCATCTTATAATATTCACTTACTGATTTTGTTATTTAGAATATAATTTTTCATACTGAATGTAGGTTTTCAGTTAAAACTTACCATGCCTTAAATTTTCTAAGTGAAAACAGAAATGTAGGTTGAGCATTCGTAATACTAAAACCCGAAATGATCTAAATTCAGAAACTTTTTGAGCACCAACATGATGCCACAAGTGGAAATTTCATACCTGAGCTCTCATAATGGATACAGTCAAAATGCAGGTGTATAACAGTGTATTTAGTCCTTATTCCCTGTCCCCAAGGGAAAAAAGACCAGCTGAGATAAAATCTTTTCTGAACACACCCAGATTCCCCCAAGCAAGCACGCACACTAAGGATAAAATGGTACATGTTTGGGCCAGACATGCCAATGGCAGGTTCCCCAATTCCCCATAAGGAGCTAAAACCTATGTGCATTACTCACTGGTTTTTTTTTTTTTTTTGGCTTATTCTCTTCTCTGTGGTGTAAAGATATTTTGTAAAAGGTCAGAAAGGCATGCATGATACCCAGAGTAATGCAAACGTTCCAAAATCTGAAACCTGAAACATTTCTGGTCTGAACAAAGCATTTTGGATAACGGATAGTCCACCTGTATTTGTTTTCTGAAACGTCTATAAATAGAATTTGAGACAAAAATATTTTTAAGAAATACTAAAAGACATGTAAACAAAAGGGTACTGATAATCAAGAGACCTTACCTTGAAACATCACCATTGGTCTGCATTTCTTGAAATTCACACAAAGAGGTATCATCATTGCTTAAGTTTTCAATCACAGACATTTCATTATTATTTTGAGAAAGATCTTTAGTTTTTCCAAGATTCGCTAATGATGTAACCACATTGGCCAATGTACTTAAATCTCCCTGACATGATTCAGCCTTTAAAAAAAAGGGTATTAAAATTCTGTGAATTGGTATCAGTATTTTTTTCAATCTGAAATATCCAATTATAGATTATGATATGCCAAAAGAAAAGAATAGTATGACAAATTATCCTGGAAAGTTAAAGGGCTCTGAGCTTTCAGAAATTTCTTGAGGAAAATACAAGTTTAAAAACATCAGGTGTATTTCGTAAGAAATGTTTATATGTTACTTTTTTCTTTTAATGGGACAAGATCTCACTCTGTCACCCAGACTGGAGTACAGTGGCATGAACACAGCTCACTGCATCCTCAAATTTCTGGGCTCACGTGATCCTCCTGCCTCAGCCTCCTGAGCAGCTAAGACTGCAAGTGTGCTCTGCTATACCTGGCTATTTTTTTTCATTTTTAGAAATGGGGTCTTGCTGTGTTGCCCAGGCTGGTCTTGAACTCCTGGCCTCAAGTGATCCTCCCTGCCTCAGACTCCTGAGTACAATTTCTAAAACTTACTACATAAACTATAAACTTGTATGGAATGTAAAGAATACTAGTGAAAGTAGGGGAAATAGGGCAAATGAATTGTTGAACAGACTTCATAGGATGCCAACTTTTGCCAGACAATGTGTTAATTAAATGTGTTAAAAGGCAATGTGTTAAACACAAAAATTAAAAGAAATAGATCAGTTATCCATTATTCTCTTCACTTTTTTTGTTACCGGAGTTGAAAATTCTCTTTACATAGGTAAGACACTGATCTTTTGTTAAACATGACATACTTTCAATTTGTCTTTTTTTTTTCTTGACACAGTCTCACCCTGTTACCCAGGCTGGAGTACAGTGGTGTGATCTCAGCTCACTGCAACCTCCACCTCCTGGGTTCAAGTAATCCTCCTACCTAAGCCTCCTCACTACAGGTGCATACCACCATGTCCAAGTAATTTTTGTATTGTTTGTAGAGATGGGGTTTCATCATGTTGCCCAGGCTGGTCTAAACTCCTGGGCTCAAGTGAGCCACCTGCCACAGCCTCCCAAAGTGCTGGGATTACAGACCTGAGTCACCGTGCCTGGCTTGTCTTCATTTTATAATGTTTGTTGAAAATGTATACATTATTTGTGCATTAGCTACAATTCTTTTATAAAAAAGAATTTTCTCTCAACTCTTTCACAACCCAGAATTGTAATTTGTATAGGAAAGGCAGGTACTTTATTTTTCTTTTAGTTACCTTTCAGAGCAAGAAGTTGATACCCTAGCCATTTCTAATTGTGATAGATGAGTTTTTCTGAGTATAATTTTTAATTCATAGGTTTTCATCTATTTGATGTTTTATATATTTGATTTAAATTTATTTAATTCTTTTGTAAATCCTTTCCCATCCTAACCTAAGGAGAAGCCTTTCAAGTTGCCTTCTATGGCCTACTGACACAACCCCTTCGTGAAATCTTTTTGACTAATAGTTTCTTCATGGGTTTTCTTTTTAGTGTTCGTAATCCTAAAATAACACATACATTCCCATGTTTCATTTATTGTAACAATTCTTCAATTTATGTGAGATTTATTTTGGTGAATCAGTAGAATAAAACAATGTTTGTGCTCTCCCCAAATTAATCAAAGGTCCAAAAATAATTTACTGGAAACCCTACCAGTAACCAAGTTCTTACAGAATTAATACCTATATATGCATTTTATGTAACCCCCATTAGACCCCTGTGAAACAGAAATCATCATTCCACTGTCGCCAACCAGAATAATAATCCAAATAGTAAAGGCAGGACTGTCTGACTGCAAAAGTCTATGCTTTTTTTTTTAAGAGACTGTGTTTTTTAGAGACACTTCTATTGCCTAGACAGGAGTGCAGTGGCAGGATCATAGCTCACTGCAGCCTTGAACTCCTACGCTCAAGTAATCCTCTGTCTCAGCCTCCCAAATAGCTGGGACTACAGGCATGTACGTACATGCCTGGCTAATTTCATTATTTCTAGAGGCAGGGTCTCGCTATTTCCCAGGTTGGTCTCAAATTCCTAGCCTCAAGTAACTCTTCAACTTCAGCCTCGCAAGTTGCTGGGATAAACTTGAGCCACTCTGCCCAGAAAAGCCCATAATGTTAAGCTACACTCCAAGCAGTTTTCTTATATTTGAATAAAAAGTATGCCAGTTACAATTTTTACTATTCACCTAAAACTTAGAAGTTTATATATTCTTTTCTATCTAGCAAAATATCTAACTAGATTCTTAAGTTTTTGCCCCAAAGGCTCTTAGCCAACATGGAAAAATTTCATCTTGTGACTTCACAGTTTTGGGGCCATTTGTCAGAGAAGCTTACATAAGGTTGTTATAACAATTTAATACAAAGATATATAAGAGAGCACAGTGTCTGGGCAGAGTGGTTTGTCAAGGAAACCTAGTTCCCTTCCTTCCCTAAAGGAGTTAATATGTCAATAAAACCAATTATCATTCTAACCTTGAATCATGTAAATAAGGCTAATCATGTAGAAAGGACTAAGTTTTCCAAAATACATGGCAAGAGGCCAAATGCCTCACCTAGCAATTACATGCTAACGCCCAATCTGTAAGATAAGATACTCTTTTTAATTTTTTTTTTTATTTTTTAAAGACGGGGTTTCACCATGTTGGTCAGGCTGGTCTTGAACTCCTGACCTCAGGTGATCCACCCGACTTGGCCTCCAAAGTGATTAGATTACAGGCATGAGCCACCACACCCGGCCGATAGATACTCTTATTACTCTTATTTTACAGATGAGAAAGTGAGGCACTGAGAGGTCAAATAACTTACTTAATGTTATATAACTAGTAAGTGATAGATGAAATTTGATTTCAGAGCCCAAGTATTTAGAGTGCCTTAAAGCATCAAGTGACAAATATATAACAAATCTTGCAATAAACAGGACAAATAATCTTATAGGTTATATGAAACCAGATCCTGGCCAGGCAGAGTGGCTCATGCCCATAACCCCAGCAATCTGAGAGGCTGAGGTGGGAGGATCACTTAAGCCCAGGAGTTCGAGACCAGCTGGTAATACAATGAGACTTGAGTCTCTATAAAAATAGAAAAAATTAGCCAGGCACAGTGGCACGTGCCTGCAGTCCTAGCTTCTTGGGAGGCTTAGGTGAGAGAATCACTGGAGCCTGAGAGGATGAGGCTGTAGTTAGCCGTGACTATGCCACCACCACATCCCCAGCTTGGGTGACAGAGGAGACCCTGTTTCAAAAATAAACAAAAACCCCATCACAGGCTGAGATAAACCCTGACTGCAGGCTTCCCAAAATCTGTTTTCATATATAAGTTTTCAGGATAAATTTTTGCTTCTTGTTCTCATAAAGGGTTTCTGAAAAGTACAGAAACTCTTCATGTTCAATCTAAATAAACAAACAAACAGTTTTTCCTTTAGACCATTGGTCTAACATAAAGCTGCTCCAATCCCTAAGAGAACTGGATGACCTGAATACATAATAGGAGAGCTCCTGAAGTCCTATTCCTACTCTTGACTCAAGTTAAGTACTTAGATGGAGGTGTGCTAGGAATTTATTTTTACCTGAAATATTTTAAATATTTTAGCACTAACATATCTATAAGGGAACATAAAATAAATACTAAGAATTTTACACCTATAAATGTCTTTTACTGAGGGCTTCTATTTCAAGATGAGGGAAAAGTATATGTTTGTTGTTTTCATGTTGAAGCGATAATCGTCCTAGTGAAACTATGAACATTTCTCACTTTTTTTTTTGAGGCGGAGTTTCCCTCTTGTTGCCCAGGCTGGAGTGCAATGGTGCAATCTTGGCTCACTGCACCCTCTACCTCCCGGGTTCAAGGTTATCCTGCCTGAGTAGCTGGTATTACAGACATGCACCACTACACCCAGCTGATTTTTTCTGTTTTTAGTAGAAACAGGGTTTTTCCATGTTGGTCAGGCTGGTCTCAAACTCTGACCTCAGTTGATCCACCTGCTTCGGCCTCCCAAAGTGCTGGGATTACAGGCGTGAGCCACCATGCCCGGCTGAGCATTTCTAATTTATGTTAAAAATTCCACATTAGGGAACGATCCAAGATGGCCGATCGCTAACATCCCGGGATTGCAGCTCTCAGGGAAGGCACGGAGAACTAGAGGACGCCACAATTTCAGACAAATTCTGGTTGCTCACGGAGCAGAAGATCTCCCAGTGGAGGAAACACACGGGTGGCCAGCGCGACTCTTGTGGCCGGCGCAGCGGTTCCACGGGCACCTCGGCGCAGCAGCTCTCGGAGCAGAGTAAACAAGGTCGGAGGACCCGCAGGCGTGTCCCCAGCAGGACACCAGAGCCCGGCGCAGGGCTGTGACGGCACCTCGGCGCAGCAGCGCTCGGCGCAGAGTAAACAGGACTGGTTCCCCTTCTGACCGAGGTTTGGAGCCCCGGGAAGGCAGAGTCGCCTACTACGGACACAAGAAGGAAGCCAGACAGGAGAATCCTGGGCAGAAAAGCACCATCAGTTTTAACGCCGCTGCTCTGGCCCTGGGAACTAACAACCTGGACGTCCACTCAAGAGACCTAATCTGAAAGTTGGTAATTTCAAAGACGACAGGAGGATAAATTTACAACGATGGGAAGAAACCAGCGTAAAAAGGCTGAGAATACTCAAAATCAGAACGCCTCTCCCTCTAAAGATGATCACAGTTCCACATCAACAATGGAACAAGGCTTGATGGAGAACGAGCGCATCCTGATGACAGAATCACTCTTCAAGGAATGGATAATAACAAACTTTGGTGAGTTAAAAGACCATGTTGTAGCCCAACGTAAAGAAACTAGGAACTTTGAAAAAAGGTTTGATGAAATCCTATTGAGAATAGACAACTTAGAGAGGAGTATGAGTGAATTAATGGAACTGAAGAATACAATACAGGAACTCGGAGAAGTGTGCACAGGTTTAAACACTCGAATTGTTCAAGCAGAAGAAGGGATATCAGAGGTCAAAGTCCAACTTAATGAAATAAAACGTGAAGAAAAGATTAGAGAAAAAAGGATAAAAAGGAATGAGCAAAGTCTCCAAGAAATGTGGGACTATGTGAAAAGACCAAATTTACATTTAATAGGTGTACCTGAATGCGACGGAGAGAATGAATCCAAGCTGGAAAATACCCTTCAGGATATTATTCAGGAAAATTTTCCTAAACTAGCAAAGCAGGTCAACATTCAACCCCAGGTAATACAGAGAACATCACAAAGATATTCCTCAAGAAGAGCAACCCCAAGGCACATAATCGTTAGATTCACGAGGGTTGAAACGAAGAAGAAAATACTAAGGGCAGCCAGAGAGAAAGGTCAGGTTACCCACAAAGGCAAGCCTATCAGACATACAGCAGATCTCTCAGCAGAAACTCTACAAGGCAGAAGAGAGTGGGGGCCAATATTCAACATCCTCAAAGAACAGAACCTTCAGCCCAGAATTTCATATCCAGCCAAACTAAGCTTCACAACTGAAGGAAAAATAAAATCTTTTATGAACAAGCAAGAACTCAGAGATTTTATTACCACCAGGCCTGCTTTACAAGAGCTTCTGAAAGAAGCATTACACACAGAAAGAAACAACCAGTATTAGCCTTTCTAAAAATACATCAAAAAGTAAACAGCACCAACATAAAGAAGAATTTTCATCAACGAATGGAAAAAACAGCCAGTCAACATCAAATGGCAGTAACCCTAAATTTAAATTGACTAAATCTCCCAATCAAAAGACACAGCCAAAACCCAATGGCATGTTACATCCAGACCTGTTTCACATGCAAGGATACACAAAGACTCAAAGGGCTGGAGAAAGATTTACCAACCAAATGGAGAGCAAAAATAAATAATAAATAAATAAAAAGCAGGAGCTGCAATTCTCGTATCGGATAAAATAGATTTTAAAGCAACAAAGATATAGTGGTAAAAGGATCAATACAACAACAAGAGCTAACGATCCTAACACCCAGATACGAGACTTAGATTCAATGAGACAAAATTAATAAGGATATCAAGGACTCGAGCTCAGATCCAGAACAAGTAAACTTAATAAATATTTATAGAGCTCTCCACTTCAAATACACAAAATATACATTCTTGTCAATACCACATCACACCTACCCATAAGTTTAAATGAAACATTGATTGGCCATTATTAATACCCAAGTTTTTTCAAAATAAAGCAATATTTCTATTTACTCTCCCTCTTTCTTCCTCTCCTTTACTTATTTTTTTTATTTTTTATTTTTTTTTCTTTCCTTCTCTCAAAAAAAAAAAGAAATCAACTTGTAAACCTCTAGATCCAGGTCGGCAATGTCTCTCTCATTGCTTGATTTCCTTCCTTCCCTTCCCTCCCTCCCTCCCTCCCTCCCTCCCTCCCTGCTTCCTCCCTTCCTTCCTTCCTTCCTTCCTTCCTTCCTTCATCCCTTTCTTCCTCCCTACCGTCCTTCTTCCCTCCCTTCCTGCCTTCCTAAAAAAAAAAAAAAAAAAAAAAAAAAATCCACATTACAAGGTACTTTCTTTTTTTTTAAGAACAAGGCAATTGATCAAAGCAATGGAAGCAATTAGAAAAACATTTTAAAAAGCTTAAAAATATCGAAGCTTTAAATTATACTAAACACACCTTATCTGATGTCATCAGCACAGTTGACTCAGTTTTTACTCCAGACGGATGAATATTCACAAACATTCCTGAATCTAACAGTCCTGTTGACCTATGACAAATAAGCACAAATTTTAGCCTGAGTTTCGTTGGGAAGAAAAACAAAATGACCAGCTACTCAGTGTCTGTTTTACTTTACCTTGTAGTTTCACTCTCTGTTACAAAAGTTGGAGTTGCAGTTAATGGGCTACGAAGATCTTTTCGGATATAGATTTTTTCTGTTGAAGCGGCACAGTTGGAAGATTTTTCTCGTGATACTTCAATGGGTTTTCTTTCACATTGAACAGCTACAAAAATGTGTTAAACTATTATATCACAATAGAGGATTTACAGACAATTATAAATGTAAGCTGTAGGTAAGCTTAATGCTGCTAATAGGAGACATGCCTACCATACTTAACTCCAAAGATAACTATCAATCTCTAGAAATTATGTGCAAGTTCAACAAAGTTGCTTTAGATTAGTAAAACTAGCTGACTTGCATCACTCATTCTCTTTTCTCTCTCTGCTCCGCATTCCTGTAAAGGAACTCTTATTATTATTATTATTATTTTTTTTTTTTGAGATGGAGTTTCGCTTGTTACTCAGGAGTGCAATGGTGCAATCTCGGCTCACCGCAACCTCCGCCTCCTGGGTTCAGGCAATTCTCCTGCCTCAGCCTCCTGAGTAGCTGGGATTACAGGCACACGTCACTATACCCAGCTAATTTTTTGTATTTTTAATAGAGGCGGGGTTTCACTATGTTGACCAGGATGGTCTTGATCTTGACCTCATGATCCACCCACCTCGGCCTCCCAAAGTGCTGGGATTACAGGCTTGAGCCACCGCGCCTGGCCGGAACTCTTATTTTTTAAAAGTTCACCATCAAAAAGAAAGAACTAAAGTTAGGAATCACTTAACTATCTATATGAGTGCTTTGAAAAAATGAAGTGAAATTTAATCCATTGAAAATAATACTGAAAGGAACAAAAAAGCCTAAGGTGGATCTTTTATTAACTAAGGACAGGAGATTTTTGAGAAGTAATTCAACTACTTCGTCTTCCTTTATAAAATACAATTAATATGTAATATTTGTAAGAATTTTATCTCATAATATTTAGGAGATAGTATAGTAAGGTTGTTAATCTGCCAGGATTTAAAGCCAGCTTATGACACTTATTAGTTATATGACCTTGAGCAGATTTCTCAACCTCTGTTTACTCAAATGTAAAATGGGTAATGCAGTATTTACTGCAGAGAATCGCTGTGAGAATAAGTTAATACACATGACAAGCACAGTTTCTAGCACAGTGAGAGCTCAATCAATACTAGCTATTGTCACCATCTTACTAATCTTTAGTAGTTAAATCAAAAAGTAAACTGGTATCTGAAGCTAGTTAAGCATTTTGCCAAACACAAACTACAAATACATGCTTGTTACACAGGCATTCAATAAATATTAGTTGAATAAAAAATACATACATATTTATGTATTCTTATATTTTTAGTTGGAAAACTAAACTAAAAAGTATACATATTTGACATATTTTAACTTGTTAATTTCAATACTCCTCCAGTTTGCTGGAATCTTTAAAAAGTATTTTCTCCTTAAAAGCTAATACATACAGTCTTGTTTCATTCCAAACGCAATACATCTCTGTAACCTGCAGTATTGGCAGCGGTTTCGGTGATGTTTATTAATAATACAATCCTTTGATCCTCGACATGAATATACTAAATTTTTTCGGATGCTTCTTTTAAAAAATCCTTTGCAGCCTTCGCAAGTTACTGCTCCATAATGACGTCCTAGAGATAAAATGTTTAAGAAAATATAAAAGTCACGTTATTTCAGAACAGAAATGAAATAAGCCAATTGCTCCCCTTTAAACAACATATAAGATGAAACTAATTTTTGAGCTTCTGACATGAAAAACATTTTTAGAAGTTATTTTTATTTATTATCATTATTTTAGAGATGCTCTGCGGCCCAGACTGAAGTGCAATGCTACGATCACAGTCCAGTGCAGCCTTGAACTACTGGACTCAAGGGATTTCCCCAAGTAGCTGGGACTACAGGCTTATGCCACCACGCCTGATAAGTTTTTTTATTTAATTTTTTTTAAAGACAGTCTTGCCATCTTGCCCAGGCTGGTCTCCATCCTGGACTTAAGCGACCCTTTTTGCCTTGGCCTCCCAAAGAGAGGTTACTAAATAGAGAATGAAACAAGCATATTCTCTAATAAAAAACAAATATATGAATTCTTAATTTTTTTTTAGAGATGGAGCCTTGCTCTGTCACCTAGGCTATAGTGCAGTGGCATGATCAAAGCTCCCCAAATCCCTGAATTCCTGTGCTCAAGTGATCCTCTTGCCTCAGCCTCCTAGTGGCTAACACTACCATCACTACTGGGTGATTTTTTTTGTTTAAGAGACAGGATCTCTTTATGTTACCCAGGCAGATTTCAAACTCCTGGCCTGAAGTGATCCTTCTGCCTCCATTCCCAAAGTGCTGGGATTACAGGAATGAGCTACCTTGCCTGGCCTAATGTAATGTATTATTAAGGCTCAGAACTCATCATTTTTAAATGATTCCTTTGCCAAAACTCCTAGTTTTCGCATTAAAAAAATCTTTCTACAGATGGGCATAATCCAGCCTGTAATTCAGCACTTTGGGAGGACAAGGCAGGTGAATCACTTGAAGTCAGGAGTTCGACACCAGCCTTGCCAGTATGGCAGAAGCCCATCTCTACTAAAAATATAAAAATTACCCGGGTGTGGTGGCACACACCTGTAGTCCCAGCTACTCGGGAGGCTGAGGCAGGAGAACTGCTTGAACCCATGAAGCAGAGGTTGCAGTGAGCCAAGATTGCACCACTGCACTCCAGTTGGGGCAAAAGAGTGAGATTCTATCTAAAAAAAAAATTGTTTTTTACATGTTTGCTTTCAAAAGTGAAATACGCATTTTATTTCTTTACAAATCAAATTAAACTGCACTGAAATAAAGAAAATAAGTGAATAAAGAACTCTGGGACCGAGCATGGTGGCTCACACCTGTAATCCCAGAATTTTGGGAGGCCAAGGAAGGGTGGGTGGATCATCTGAGGTCAGGAGTTTGAGACCACCCTGGCCAACATGGTGAAACCCCATAGCTAATAAAAAAACAAAAGTCAGCCAGGCATGGTGGCACACACCTGTAATCCCAGCTACTTGGGAGGCCGAGGCAGGAGAATTGCTTGAATCCAGGAGACAGAGGCTGCAGTGAGCTGAGATCATGACACTGCACTCCAGCTGGAACAACAGAGTGAGACTCTGTATCAAAATAAAAAGAACTTTGGGGAAATAATTAGTTAAATTTTAAAGGCTACAAATGTGAACCACAAAAATGACATACTCCTTTATTTTTCTTCTTTTATGTATTTATTTATTTATTTTAAAAGACGGGGTTTCACCATGTTGGTCAGGCTGGTCTTGAACTCCCGACCTCAGGTGATCCGCCACCTTGGCCTCCAAAGTGCTTGGATTACAGGCGTGAGCCACCATGCCCGGCCTTTTCTTTTTTTTTCTTCTTTCTTTTAGTAGAAGAAACATGGTAGTGTGGTAGTTATTTTAACAACACGACACATACAGGAGGTTATTTTTCTTTTTTCATTTTTAAGAGGTTATTCTTAATGTTACCTGATGCTTTGTCTCCACATACTACGCAAAGATCAAAAATCTTATTTGGTCCCTGGTCTGGAGAAGAATTATCTGTTAGGAGCTTAAAAAAACAAAAAACTTGTTGTTACTCAACAGCACTCACTCTATTAAAAAATTAAAGAACATTCAGTCGGTCTTGTTTGTTGCTTTTTCACAAGTTATTCTTAAACTCTGAACTCTATGAAGAGCTCAGAACCTTTCCACATGGAATGACACGACAAAAACATGCTTATAATAGCATAAAAAGATAACTCTGAACTTTTTAAATAGAAATGGAGCTATAAATAAACTTCCTTGAGGCAATTACATAATCATGCTGATATAGTTGCTATGCAAAGCTACAGACTTAAAAAGCTCATCACTAGGCATAGCTAATAAAATACTAGGAAAGGAAACTAATTTCTTTAAAAAACAAACAAAAGCTGGGCACGGTGACTTACACCGGTAATCCCAGCACTTTGGAAGGCCGAAGCTGCGGATCACCTGAGGTCAGGTGTTTGAGACCAGCCTGGCCAATGTGGTGAAACCCCATCTCCACTAAAAATACAAAAAAATTAGCTGGCTGTGGTGGTGGGTGCCTGTAATCCCAGTTACTTGGGAGGCTAACACAGGAGAATCCTTGAACCTAGGAGGCAGAGGTTGCAGTGAGCCGAGATCGCACCACTGCACTCCAGCCTGGGTTACAGAGCAAGCCACCGTCTCAAAATTAAAAAAAAAAATTAAAAAAGCTGGGTGTGGTGGTGCATGCCTGTAGTCCCAGCTACTCTGGAGGCTGAGGCAGGAAAATTGCTTGAACCCAGGAAGTGGAGGTTGCAGTGAGCTGAGATTGCGCTACTGCACTCCGGCCTGGGAGACAGTGAGACTCCATCTCAGAAAAAAAAGTCAGGCTTGGTGGCTCACGCCTATAATCCCAGCACTTTGGAAGGCTGAGGTGGGTGGATCACAAGGTCAGGAGATCAAGATCATCTTGGCTTATATAGTGAAACCCCGTCAAAATGAGCTGGACATGGTGGCACATGCCTGTAGTCCCAGCTACTCAGGAGGCTGAGGCAGAAGAATCATTGGAACCTGGGTGGCAGAGGTTGCAGTGAGCCAAGATTGTGCCACTGCACTCCAGCCTGGGCAACAGAGTGAGACTCCGTCACACACACAAAAAAGATAGTTTCTTTCTTTCAATTTTGAAATGTGAACAAATAAATTCAATTTTAAAAAATGGTATGGCATTTGAATTCCTTCAGGAGTAATTCTGATTTTACGAACTTTAAATGGTTCTTAAAATGACTACCCCTTACTATGTAATATATTGCATCACTTTTTCTTATATCACCACAAAAATCAGTCTTCAGTAAGTACTTAAACAAAACAAAAACTTTTGGTACTAGATGTCCTAGGAAAGCGTCTATGACAAGTATTACACTTTTCTTTAATAGCCTACCTGTTGCAAATCGTGCTAATCTTTTATCTATTTTTCTTAAGGCTAGAAGGAGATATTGAGAGAATAAGAGATTTTCCCACATTCCATCTTAGGTCATTAGACCAGCTTTTGACCTAAGGGAATTCCAACCAATACCTGTTTCTCTTTCACTGCTTTTAGAGATGATCCATAAGTAGGCAAAGGGCCAATATTATCTTCATTTTTAAAATACGGAATTTTTTTTTACAGAAGGAGTGACTTTGCAATGGAGAAACCTGACAAATACTACCTCAGCCAGGTGACAGAAGTCAACCTCATCAGTCATAAATCATGTTGATAGTATCTTTTATATAATGTGACAAAATGGCACTTAACTTCTGTAATCTTCCTTCCCCAAACCCATATGGCCTGTCTAATCATGGGAAGAACATCAGATAAAGTCCATTCATGGGGCATCCTACAATATACCTGGCTAGCACTCCTCACACACTGTCAAGGTCATCAAAAACAAGGAAAGTGAGAACTGGTCTAGCCAAGAGAAGCCAAAGGAGACAGGACAACTCAATGCGATAAGGTATCCTGAATGGGATCCTGGAACAAAAAGGGCCATCAGGCAAAAATCAAGGAATATCTAACCACCTATCAGCTTCAGTTAATAATATATCAATATTCCTCATTAATTGTAATAAATAGGTCATGTCAATATAAAATGTTAATAATAAGGGAAACTGTATTTACAGGGGGAGTAATATGGGAACTCTGTACTATATGCTCAGTTTTTCTGCAAATCTAAAACTATTCTAAAAAATCAAGTCTACTAATTTAAGAAAAAGAAATTAAGGTACATATAATGTTATAAATTTTTTTTTGTGAGTTCTCTCTTGTTGATAAAACAAATTCTTATAAATCTATGGCCCTATCCACTTTCTACCTTTATTTCCAAAACTAATACAAATAGTATCAATGGATGAATAGATGATATCAGGATATGTAGGCAAATTTTCATGTTTTATGAATTCAGAGTTTTTCAATCCAAAGAAGAATTTTCTTTCATTTTTCATCATAAAATATGAAACCCAATTTTAAGTAGACCCCCTTCAAAATGTCTCTAAAAGCAAACTTCATAGTATATCATATTTGTATCCAATCATAGCAACCAGCAGTGAAAACATCTACATAACCACAGGCATGTGGTGTATTGGGTCTTTGAAGAATAATGGGTAATTTTCTATTCTAGCAAAAAGTAAAATGACGTAATGTTAACCTGTACTACCACGTTCCGGAGTAAAGCAGGACACCATGACTAGACTGCTTGCCATGTCACGGATATATGCATGACAACAACGGAAGCACAATGCTGAAGCCAGCAGCTATAGTCCAAACTTCTTGATCTGGTAGCTTCCTGTTTGTGGCACAGGCAGCTTGCTTCTGGAAAATACAGCTACAAAAACTGCTCCTGACTTGACAATTTCCTAATTATGCAGAAGCAGCAGGAGGTCTCTTAGAAGCCAATTTTGCAGCATGCTCCAGTATTCTTGAAAACCTGGCCTAGAACTGTTTCTTCAGCCTTCCTAACAATTCTGCAAGCTCTCTGTATCTTTTATTAAAGGCCTTCCTGGCTATATCAGCCAGAGTGGATTTTACTATATGCAACAAAGAATCCCCCAAAATACATGAGTGAGGAAAGTACAGTGGCCCATAGGAGAGGGCTGTCACTGTAGATACTCTGTGTTACACACAATTTTATGCATTTTTTTTCCTACTGAATATACATATATCTAAAGTATTAATGGCAGGACATATGCTTAAAACAAGTTTTTTAAAGAAATTGTTTTAAGCATAAGACACTTGTAAGAGAAAAAGACACTTGTTACCTGCAGGTGTTGTGCAGACAGATCAGGAGTGGTAAAAAATAACTGGTTGACACCTGCTGGATCTGGAGTTGTGAGGAAAACTTTTCCTGGAGTGGCATCTTGCCTGGCCAGAATGACTTTGCTTGGAGAAGAGCCGTCATGATTTGTCAGAATGAACTGCTTGCCTTGGGTATTATGATCAAGTGCTGTCACAATCTGGATTTTCTGCCCAGTTTGCTGCTCTGTAACAATCTAACAAAATTATAAAAAAGAAATAATGAATTCAAGTCAATCATTTGTTTTTCTTTAATGACACAATTATCTTCTATCTTCAAAGACAGAAAAGCACATCATTACATACAAGGCAATGTAACACAGACACGTGCCTTATCTTTATCTTTTTTTTTTTTTTTACAGACTGCAGCAGAATATACACATACCCTTTAAACTACCAATTCTGCTGCCATAAAATTCTATCCTATGGAAATAAACAAATGTGCAAACAAACAAATGTACAATAGTAAGAACATTTTGACCTATTTTGATTCCCTCCTTCGCCTTCCCTCCCATGTTCCATTTAGCCAAATATATATTGGTGATTTCTATTGGCTGTTCTGCATCCTGGGATGTAGCAGTGAATAAAACACAATTTTTGCCTTCATGAAGTTTTTATTTTAGTGGAAAGATAGTAAATAAGGAAACAATAATATTGTCAGGCGGTACTAAGTGCAATGAAGAAAAACAAAGTAAGCTGAGACAGTATCAGAATGAGGGCAACGAGGGAAGGTCACTCTAAGGAGGTATCGTTTTTGCACAGACTCGAGTGAAGAAACAGACCAAGGCTTAGGACTACCTAGGGGAAGAACATTCCAAGTAGAGGAAACAAGAGCTTAAAAGTAGTTCCCAGGGCAGGAGGGAGGGTGTTTGACACGTGAGGCACAAAGCACAGCAATAGAGCAGTATGAGGAAGACAGAAAGGGAAGATAGGAATTATTGTAGAAGATGGGATCTGAGTGACAGCTAGGACTTAGAGGGCTTTGTAGGCCATACAAAAGTTTAGATTTCCTATTGTGTGAAACAGAGAGCCACCAGAGGGTTTGGAGCAGAGGAATGACAGGATTTTACTTTTTAAAAAAGAATCAGCCATACACAGTAGCATGTATCTATAATCCCAGCTACTTGGGAGGCTGAGGCAGGAGGATCACTTGAGGCCAGGAGTTCGAGACCAGCCTGGGCAACACAGTGAGATCCTGTTTAAAAAAAAAAAAACTGTAGGCCGGGTATGGTGGCTCAAGCCTGTAATCCCAGCACTTTGGGGGAGGCCGAGGTGGGTGGATCACTTGAGGTCAGGAGTTTGAAACCAGCATGTCCAACATAGCAATATTCCATCTCTACTAAAAACACAAAAAATTAGCCGGGCATGGTGGTGCATGCCTGTAATCCCAGCTACTCGGGAGGCTGAGGCAGGAGAATCGCTTGAATCCGGGAGATGGAGGTTGTAGTGAGCCAAGATCGTGCCACTGCACTCCAGCCTGGGCAACAAGAGCAAAACTCCATCTCAAAAACAAAAAAAGTGTAAATAAAAAAGTACTATAAATTTATTGTGAAGAACAGACTGCAAATGTTCAAGAGTAGGCTGGGCACCGTGGCTCACGCTTGTAATCCCAGCACTTTGGGAGGCTGAGGCAGGTGGATCCCTTGAAGTCAGGAGTTCGAGAACAGATGGCCAACATGATGAAACTCCGTATCTACTAAAATATAAAAATTAGCTGGGCATGGTGGTGGGCGCCTGTAGTCCCAGCAACTGGGGAGGCTGAGGCAGGAGAATCACTTGAACCTGGGAGGCGGAAGTTGCAGTGAGCTGGCATCATGCCACTATACTCTAGCCTGGGGGACAGAGCAGGTCTGTCTCAAGAAAAAAAAAAATGTTCAGGAGTAAAATTAAGGGAGATCAGAAAGGACACTACTGCAGATACCACCAGTATCTGGTTATGATATATGGGCAGAAATACTGGCCAGGAACAGAGCAGGGGCCATGCTGGGGGTGAAAAGCCAAATATATTGGGATTTTTTTTTTTTACTTTTAAGAAGAGAAAGGTAACAAAACATGCTGACAGACTGGAGTGGAACGTGAGGAAAGAAGAGTCAAGGGGCTGGGCGCAGTGGCTCACAACTGTAATCCCAGCACTTTGTGAGGCCCAGATGGGCAGACTGCCTGAGGTCAGGAGTTTGAGTCCAGTCTAGCCAACATGGTAAAACCCTATCTCTACTAAAAATACACAAAAAAAGCCAGGTGCAGTTGGTCACGCCTATATCCCAGCACTTTGGGAAGCCAAGGCGGGTGGCTCACCTGCGGTCAGGAGTTTGAGATCAGCCTTGGCCGGGCATGGTGACATCCCGTCTCGATTAACATACAATAGTTAGTGGGACATGGTGGTGGGCACCTGTAGTCTCAGCTACTCGGGAGACTGAGGCACAAGAATCACTTGAACCCAGAAGGTAGAAGTTGCAGTAATCCGAGATCATGGCACTGCACTCCAGCCTGGACAACACAGTGAGATTCTGTCTCAAAAAGAAAGAAAAAAAAATTTGCTGGGTATGGTGGCGCACGCCTGTAATCCCAGCTACTGCCGGAGGCTGAGGCAAGGGAATTGCTTGAACCACAGAGGTGAAGGTTGCAGGGAGCCGAGATTGAGCCACTACACTCTAGTCTGGGCAACAGAGCAAGACTTGGTCTCAAAAAAGAAAGAAAGAAAAGAAGAGTCAAGGATGATTATAAAATTTCGGCTTGAGCAATTGGGAAGACAGAACTGCCATCTGCCAAGATGGAGCAGTCTGGGGAGGAGCAAGTTCAAGAACATAGAGAACTATTTCAGCATTGAGTTTCTGTTATTCAGCAAATATATTCCAGAGTAAACTTCATTAGGTCAATTAAATTCCTTGATTCAATTTTGAAATGACAAAGTTGGTTTCTAATTTTTCACAATTCCAAACCTGTTTCTTCTGTACCAAAGTTTTTCTATTTTTATTTTCCTGAAATTATTTCAATATTCTTTTCTATGCAAAATTTAAAACGAAGCTCTGATTCACTAATCAGTTTCTTCCTAAAGCAAATTGTATTGAATAAAAGACTAATAGTTCATGCTGTCTCAGAGAAGAGCACTTGGCGCATCCATGGTCTAACTGTTCCTGGGTTGAAACACTCTGCTTAAATGAGTAAAAAGACATTTACTGCAGCATGATAATTATAATAATTGAATATTTAAGCAATCCAAAGAGCTTTCAATAGGGAAGAGCAGTAGATTATGAAAACAGTTCTTGGGTTTTAGGACCCCTTTACATTCTAAAATATTACTGAGGGTTCTGAAGAGTTTTTTTTTTTTTTGAGACAGAGTTTCACACTTGTTGCTGAGGCTGGAGTGCAATGGTGCGATCTCAGCTCACTGCAACCTCTACCTCCCAGGTTCAAGCAATTCTCCTGTCTCAGCCTCCTGAGTAGCTAGGATTACAGGCGCCTGCCACCACATCCAGCTAATTATTTGTATTTTTAGTAGATGGAGTTTTCTGCATGTGAGCTATATCTATTGATATTTAACATATTAGAAATTCAAAGAGAATTTTAAAAAATACTTGATTCATTTAAAATTAACAATCCATTAAATGTTAACATAATTTTTATTTATTTAATTTTCACAGGCGCGCAGTAAGTATATATCATCTTTGGGGTATATGAGATGTTTTGATACAGGCAGGTAATACGTAATAATCACATGGAAAATATGGTATCCGTCTCCTCAAGCATTTATCCTGTATGTTAAAATAATCCAGTTATACTCTCTTGGTTATTTTTAAATGTACAATTAAATTATTATTGGCTGGGCTCGGTGGCTCATACCTGTAATCCCAGCACTTTGGAAGGGCAAGGCAGGGGGATCATAAGGTCAGGAGTTCGAGACCAGCCTGGCCAACATGGTAAAACCCCATCTCTACTAAAAAATACAAAAAATTAGCCGGGTGTGGTGGCAGGCACCTGTAATACCAGCTACTCGGGAGGCTGAGGCAGTAGAATCGCTTCAACCTGGGATGAGATTGCAGCGAGCAGAGACTGTGCCACTGCCTTCCAGCCTGGGCGACAGAGCGAGACTCCAACTAAAAAAAAAAAAAAAAAAAAAATCCAAGCATGCACCAGTAAAAAAATGAAAAAAGTTTTAAAATAATTTTTAATTAAAAAAAAATATATATATGGAATATGGTCACTCGGTTGTGCTATCAAATACTAGGTTTTATTCATTCATCCTATTTTTTTTGTACTCATTATAACCTATTTCTTAATGACTAATAAGTTTATTTTCCAAACAAAAATGTTAAGAGTGGCATTGTTTTATATTTCTGCAAATTGCTTGACTGTCTGGTTTAACAGAATTTAGAATCTCACATCTGTTTCTTCATTTAATCTGTTGAACTACGTTGTTTTGATTATAATGAGGCTGGGCACAGTATCTTTAATGCAGGCACTTTGGAAGGTCAAGGTGGGTGGATTGCTTGAGCCCAGGAGTTCCAGACGAGCTTGGGCAACATGGCAAAACCCCATCACTATGAAATATAAACATTAGTCAGGCACGTGACCACAAAAAATTAGTCGGAAATATATTTCTTCCCTGTATATACATATACATACATTCATATATGCATATATGGTGAAGAAAATTCAGCTTCATATTTATTGGTTGAAAAGGGGAAGGATATTTTAATACTCTTTTCAAACTGTCGAAGTTGTTCTTCAATACTACAACTACTCAACAAGTGGCAGCTTTTCAAAGGTTTGCTGCAAGGTAGAGTCACAAACTGTATTAAAATCTGTTGGTCTATCCTGCAATTTAAATGGATCCTTCACTCAAACTACGCAACAAGTGGCAGATTTTCAAAGGTTAGCTGCAAGTTAGAGTCACAAACTATATTAAAATCTGTTGGTCTATCCTGCAATTTAAATGGATCCTTCACTCATGTATGGTTTTCTAACATTATACATTGGTCATCTGGAAAACAATAATTCAGTGATGATATACACCTTATAAATGTTGACAAATTTCATCATATAGTATCATCACATGCCATACAGTCTGTAGAAAATTCCATGTAGTCTGGGGATGGTGGCTCACTCCTGTAATCCCAGCACTTTGGGAGGCTGAAGTGGGCAGATCACCTGAGGTCGGGAGTTCAAGACCAGCCTGATCAACATGGAGAAACCCCATATCTACTAAAAATACAAAAATTAGGAAATTACATGCCTGTAATTTCCGCTACTTGGGAGGCCGAGGCAGGAGAATCACCTGGTCCTGGAAGGTGAAGGTTGCAGTGAGCTGAGATTGCGCCACTGCACTCCAGCGTGGAAAACAAGAGTGAAACTTCGTCTCAAATAAAAAAAAAGAGGAAAGAAAATTCCAGTGTATACTTGGGAGAGAACAACACTGAAAAGGCAAATAACATTTTAGTATTATTATGAAAATGGTCTTTACCTGGCTGATTCTCTGAAAGGGTGCCCAGACGATATTTTGAGAACTTCCAGATTACATGGTATCTCTATTAATAGGACATAACCATTTAAAAAAAATGAAGATGTCTGTATTGACACTGAACTCCTACTGAACCCACCAAAACTGGCCTCAGGTTGTACCCTCCAAAAGCATTCCTACTCACTCCACAACCCTGTAACTTCCTTCCTTCCTTCCAGTTGTTTTGCTTCTGTGCTCCCACAGCACCAGATACAATGACCTGTCACAGCAGTTACTACATTCTACTATGAATTGTCTGATTATTCAACTACCTCTCAGTAGCTTGAAAAGCTATCTTAAGTTAGGGAGTATCTTCTATTTCTGGAACTGGCATATGCAACTAGTATGAATTATAAAAGTTTGGTGTGTCAGTGGATAAACTGCAAACTAGACATACCTCTCCCATCTGTTGTTCAATTATCTGATGTGCAATTTCTTCTATGGTTGCCATGATCGACTGCCAAAATGTCCTGTCAAAAATAAAAAAGATGCTTTTTTATAATTATACTCATCAAAACACCTTTATTAAATAATTTACAAACAAAATGATATGATATTTAAGAATTTGCTTCAAAATAATCTAGTTAGGATGGGAGGGTTGGCATTTTCTGAAGTTTCCCAAAGTGCTACAATTACAGGCATGAGCCACCATGCCCAGGCCTCCATGTGTCTTTTTTTGTTTTTTTTCAGACAGAGTCTCACTCTGTCGCACAGGCTGGAGCGCAGTGGCGTGATCTCGGCTCACCACAACCTCTGCCTCCCAGGTTCAAGCGATTCTCCTGCCTCTGCCTCCCTAGTAGCTGTGACTACAGGCACACGCCACCACACCCGGCTAATTTTTCTTGTATTTTTATTTTAGTAGAGACGGGGTTTCACCGTGTTAGCCAGGATGGTCTCGATCTCCTGACCTTGTGATCGGCCCACCTCAGCCTCCCAAAGTGCTGTGATTACAGGCGTGAGCCACTGCGCCCAGCCCCATGTGTCTTTATATGGCACTCTGAGTGCCTGTGTCATACTCTCTTCATAGAAGAACATCAGTTATTTTGGATTAGGGTACACTCTAATGATCTAATTTTAACTCAATTATCTCTTTTAGGGCCTTATCTCCAACTATAATCAATTCTAACGTACTGGTGGTTAGTATATCAACATAGGAATTTGGGATTCACATGATTTTGTGGGAGAACACAATTCAGCCCATAATACTCAGGCATAAACCCAGTAAGAAACATGCAAGATCTAGGTAAGCAAAGAAAACTTTAAAATGCCGCCTAAAGACAAGAAAATCTACACTTGGGCTGGCCCCGGTGGTTCACATCTGTATTCCCAGCACTATGGGAGGCCAAGGTGGGCTGATCACTTGAGATCAGTTCGAAATCAGCCTGGCTAACATTGTGAAACCTCATCTCTACTAAAAATAGAAAACTAGCTGCGCATGGTGGCCAATGCTCATAATCCCAGCTACTCAGGAGGCTGAGGTAGAAGAATCCCTTGAACTTGGACGGCGGTGGTTGCAGTGAGCCAAGATCACACCACTGCACTCCAGTCTGAGTGACAGAATGAGACTCTGTCTCAAAAAAAGAAAAAAGAAAAGAAAAACTACACTTTAAAGGACACATAAGAAAGAAAATGGTTCCAATAACTACCTCTGAGGAAAGAAAATGCAAGTTTACGAACAGGAATGGGAGGGAGATTTATTTTTCATTGAGTAAGTGTTTGGTCCTTTTAAATTTTACTTAAATACAGATACTACCACAAAAATTAAATAAAAAATAAAAAATCTTTTCCAAAAATCCTAAAATCCACACCAGTGTATTGACACACTAGACTCAAAGAAGCCACCGCATAATGAAAACTTGAGTAGAGGCCGGGCGTGGTGGCTCACGCCTATAGCCTATAATCCCAGCACTTTGGGAGGCCGAGGTGGGTGGATCACAAGGTCAAGAGATCGAGACCATCCTGGTCAACAAGGTGAAACACCATCTCTACTAAAAATACAAAAATTAGCTGGGCGTGGTGGCGCACGCCTGTAGTCCCAGCTACTCAGGAGGCTGAGGCAGGAGAATTGCCTGAACCCAGGAGGCGGAGGTTGCGGTGAGCCAAGATCGTGCCATTGCACTTCAGTCTGGGTAACAACAGTGAAACTCTGTCTCAAAAAAAAAAAAGAAAACTTGAGTAGATAAACTATTGGTATATCTGAATGAAATCCAGGGAATCACTAGATCAATATATAGTCATGTACTGCATGATGTTTTAGTCAATAAATGAGACTGC